AAGCTTTTGCCAAATTATCAAGCCTCCTAAACCGATGGAATTTTGCACTATGACGTGAAAAATACTTTCAAAAATAGACAAAAAACAAAGTTGACAAGAAAAGTTTTTTTTTAAACAGAAGATAATGGAAATGTGAAGAAGCTTATCTCCACGCGGGAAGAACCGCCGCCGCCGGATTTAGGATCCCCGGAAAACGGAGGCATTTCCTGACAAGGAAAAGCGGACGTTTTTACGACCACTTGGCCCAAACTCGCTTTGGTATTCTCAACACTTCTTCTTCTTGTTGCAAACTTGGCAAGAGCTCGAGAATTTATTTTATTGCGTCTTTTTATTGTATTTCAGTTATTTTCATCGTTTTTAAGTTTTTTTTTACTTGGAAGGTCTGAAATGCTCCATATTCACTTTTTAAACCATTTTTCTTGTAGAGGTTAAAAAAATCTCAATTCGATCTCTTTTACTGCTTTAGAGAGGAAGACAAGGTGAAAAGTATTTTTTTTTACTCAAAAGATAAAATTTTGACATCAAAGTTTCTTACTGATGAAAGACTTTTTTTCAAAAAAAGTAATTTTTTTGAACAAAATAAACCTTTTATAGTGTTTAGAGGCTTTAAAATCATAGGAATGAACTAAAAGCCGAAAGTCCCAAAAATCCATCAAGTTTGAAGTAACAATGCCATAACTTTCATGTGATGTCGAACTTTTTTGCTCTTTTCTCAATTTTTCGTAGAACTTGGGCACGAAAAAGAACGATTTCCGCACCTTTTATGACCTTTGGACAATTTTCTTTTTTGACGATCGGGTAAAAAATAAGTTTTAGTCATGCTGAGAACCTCATTATATACGGACTTGTTTACTTTTTTTTTCATTTTCGGGTTTTTTTTTGTAAAGTTTAACGAAGTAACTAGAGAACAACGTTAATATGAAGAGACGCCAGAGAAAAAGAGATTCTAGCTTCTCTGGCGTCTCTCCAGGCTCCCGCTGCTCTCTCAAGTTCGAATATCAGTCTTTCCTTTTATTTTCTTCTTTCTTTTTCAGTTTTCATGAATCTTAAGCACGCAAAAGAACGATTTCCGCACCTTTTATGTCCTTTGACAATTTTTCTTTTTTTGATTTTTTTGATAGAATATAAGTTTTAGTACTCCTGATACGGGGGTATGAAAACAAGATTAGCGAAATTTGCGTTGGCGAACTTATCGAAGACCGCGAAATCGCGGGCGGTGTATGCCACCGTGTATGCATACTGTTTGCGCAAAAATCAATAAACACCTTTCCGACGGAACTTTTTCCGACTTTTTGCCTCTTTTTTTCAAATTTTTTTGATTTCGTCACTCATTTTTGGTTTTTTTCTGTTATTTCATCTTTTCCATCGCATTATGATCCTCTGGTACGTATTGTTCCTATTTTTTTTCTCGATAAAAAAATATTTATCCGATAGGAAACGATGTCAATGAAAAAGATTTGGAAACAACAAATTTATGGACAATGGTGAAATAAAATGAAATAAAAACAAGAAATTGGGAAAAATAAGAAATGACACGAGAAGAATGTGAAAGATATAGGAAATTTTTTTGATGTTGCCCGAAACGAAAAACAATAATTTACAGATTTGTAGGAATCAGTGTCACTCAAGTAATCAAGCATGTCATCCAATGTTTCTCTCATAGCTCTTTCTTCTTCACTCATTCTGTAATTGAAACGCAGAAAAAAACTGTTATAAACAATGTTCCAACAGCCATCACGACGAAAAATTATTCCAAAAAAATATTTTTTTGCTTCAAACAAAAAAATTGAGGTCTCCGATACAAGGATCATAATGCGATGGAAAAGATGAAATAACAGAAAAACCAAAAAAATGAGTGACGAAATCCAAAAAAATTTGAAAAAGGCAAAAAAAGTCGGAAAAAAGTTCCGTCGGAAAGGTGTTTATTGATTTTTGCGCAAACAGTATGCATACACGGTGGCATACACCGCCCGCGATTTTGCGGTCTTCGATAAGTTTGCCAACGCAAATTTCGCTAATCTTGTTTTCATACCCCCCCTGATACATGTAAGAATCTCTTATCACACGCAAACTCCTATGCATAATCATTTTCGTGCCCTTTTTTTTTGTGAGGTTCAACGAAGAAACTAGAGAACAACGCTAATATGAAGAGACGTCAGAGAAAGAGAGATTCCAGCTTCTCTGGCGTCTCTTCAGGCTCCCGCTGCTCTCTCGAACTCTAAAATCAGTCTTTTCTTCTATTTTCTTCATTCTTTTCAGTTTTCATGAATCTTGGGAATGCAAATAACAATTTTTACACCTTTTTTGTCGTTTGGACAATTTTCTTTTTTGATTTTCGGATGAAAGATAAGTTTTAGTGCAGCTTATACATGTAAGAACCTCATTAAACGCAGACTCCTTTACTTATTTATTTTCGGGTCTTTTTTTCGTAAGGTTTAAAGAAGTAACTAGAGGACAACGCTGGTATGAAGAGACGTCAGAGAAAGAGAGACTCTAGCTTCTCTGGCGTCTCTTCAGGCCCCCATGTTCTCTCGAACTCGAAAATCAGTCTTTTCTTCTATTTTCTTCATTCTTTTCAGTTTTCATGGAACTTGGACACGCAAAATAACATTTTTCGCACCTTTTATGTCCTTTGGAGAACTTTTTTTCAATTATCGGAGTAAGATGTTTTAGTACGGCTTGTACATGTAATAACCTCATTACATGCAGACTCCTTTACTTATTTATTTTCGTGTCCTTTTTTGTAAGGTTCAACGAAGTAACTAGAGAACAACGTTAATATGAAGAGACGGCAGAGAAAGAAAGATTCCAGCTTCTCTGGCGTCTCTTCAGGCTCCCATTGTTCTCTCGAACTCGAAAATCAGTTTCCCCTCCATTTTATGAGATTTTCCACGGATATGAAGACAAAAAGCCTCTTAGTTGAACCCCAGCAGCCAAACCTCGACGGCAAATAGAAAAAGAAGGGGCTCGAATTTCTTGTGGTTATTGCCGATTTTCAAGGATGCCTTCCAATATATCCGGCCGTTTGTGTTGGTTCGAAGGCTCTCATTTTTCTCATTTCCTTCGCCATTGCTTTGTTTGCGCCTTTTTTTTTGTTGTCCTGCCGCCCGATTGGAATACTCCTATTTTGGTGTGACGACGTTTTTTTTTTCATTCAACTTGGGGTCAACTTTTTCGAAAAACTTTTTTCTGCGTTTTAATTGAAGAATGGGCCTCAGGAAGAGCCTAATTTAAGTAAAATTGATCTTTAGGAACTTCAGAGTGGTCCCTATAGGGGTCCCCTCTCGGAGTTTATAGCTTTTCTTTTTTTCTGGAACTCGTAACAATGTTTTTGGTAGTTTCCAACCTTCTCTTCTCAGTTTTTGATTTTTTGCAGAAGTTAAGGGAAGATTCTGGTTTTTTTGAAATAAAAAAATAAACTCTAGAAAAAGATAATCTAGAATTTTGAGCGATTTCTCTGTTTTTTTCGAATCAATTTTTGTGGTTTTTTTATATAACTTTTAACACTTTTCAGTGCTCCAAATTTTTTTCATCTGAAAAACTTGTCAATTTTAGTACTTATTTATGATGAATAAAACAATTTCGATTAAAAAAAGGAAGAAATACAAAAAAATAAATCTTTAAAAATTCAAATAAATTCAAAAAAATGTTAATGATTTTTTTCTATTTCCTGAGGTGCTAGTAGTGGATATGTGGAGTTTGATCTTTTGATCTTATTCATCTATTATTTTTTTCTACGCTTTCTGAAGATTTTTCAGTTTCTCGAATACACCTGTATAGGTTTTTTGGACGAATTATTATGGAATACGCCTTTTTTGGAGCCCCCTTGGCCATAAATCTACTTTATGCGCTGTACAACTTTCAATTAGGCCAAAAGTGACTTTCTATTCGGAACTTTTTGTCTTTTCTTAGCTATTTTTCTACTTTATTCATTTATTTTTAGTTAAGTCATCGATGAAGTAAAATAAATGAAAGGCATCAAAATTGAACGAATAACTTGACTAGAAACATATTTTGAGTTCTATGAGGTTAAAGACAGAAAAAAACATCCTTTTTTTGAATTCGGGTTTTTTTGAAGTCTTCTGAGAGCAAAAACTATTAGGAAAAGTTCAAAAATATGTTTTTTGAAAAATCTCTACAACTTGTACATTTTTTTCCTTTTTTTCAATTCTTTTTCTGATTCAAGAAGGTGGGCAGATAAGCCGCAAAAAATGGGATTTTTTTGGTTTAAGAATGATTTTTTTGAGAGCGGATTTGATCTTTTAGTTGTAGCGATAACTTGGAAAAATGGAAATTCATACAAATCTTCGAAAATAATACTTGAGCTCCAGTTTTTAAAAGCCAAAATTTAAAATTAGGTGAAATTATGAAGTTTGCTAGTTTTTTTGACTACTGAGTTTACTAGGAAATAGAAAATTTTAAGTTTTCTTCTGGTTTCTCTACAACTTTGTGTCGTATAAAGTTTTGAAGTCCAATAATTCAAAAAAAAAAAACAAGGTTTGAAGCGACCTTTTGACTTTTTTTCGATTTTAGATATGTCCATTTTGCTGAACAGTAGCTTTGAATCTTTTACTTTGATTTTTGAATTTGGATTGGATAAGGGAATTTTTCATGACGCGAAATTGAACTGTAATGCTATTCAGATTCGAAGATCTCTTGTAAAGAATAATAATGAAATTTTCTGGATTTTTGATCAAGCCCTTTGAAGGAGTTTACGAAACTCTGGAAATGACAAGGAATTTTCTAAAGAGGGCTTATGCTTCTCCTAACAAAAACTCGAAAAACTTCCCATTTTCAGCCTGGATTTCCGAGTTTTGTTATACTTGTGAGAAGGATTTCGGATGAATATATATCTTTCATCGCCTAATCCGTCGAAAGTGTAAACAATCGCCATCGGCTGCTTCAATTTCCTGCCTTTCAAGTTTAATTTCCTGGCTTCGAAACGATATTTATCACTGATATACCCTGATATCATCATTCTTCCCAACCCAACATCCCAAATGTATACTGCTTCTGCTGCTAATATGCGACACCCGAGCCCTTCTTCGGCCCAAACGCGCTCGGGCCAACGGCCCAGGCGTCGAGCGGCCCATAAAAAGGCCAAGCGGAGGCCGTATTTCCCGAAAACGGTCATGCCTTTGGCGGCTGTCAGTCATGATATCGCGATGACGACTCTTGTGAGTTTCTTTTGGCGGCATGTTTGAAAGTACTGGAGTTCTGGGATATGCTAGAACTGAACGGTTTGAAAAAAGATATTCTATATTTCAAAAATGTTTTGAAAAAAATTATTGCTACTGGCTCAAAAAATCGTAATCCTGATAGTCTTCATTCGCGTCAATTCCAAATGCGACTCTCCTGTGTATTTTTGGCGGACTCTTCAGGGTTTTTTTAATTGCAGTGGCCCCTTTGAGTGGCTTCTTTAAAAGTCTAAGTGATATTTAGGCGACTAAAACTCCTAGAGTGGCCACTCAGATTGAAAAATCAAGAATACGACGATTTTGAGATTATTTATATTGGTTTGAGAGTTTTTGGGGCAAGTTTACTGAAAAAAATAGTGAAATATTTGTTTTCCAAGCTTCATTTTCACGTTTATATTGAAATCAGAAAGATTTTAAATCTGAAGTTTTTCCGAAAATCAAAACTCGGTAAATTTTTTTGCTAGTTTTCGTAGCAACAACGGAATTTTTATTTCAACCTTGATTTTTTTCAGTAGTCTTTGAAACGGTAAAGTTTACGAAAGCACTAATCTGACGTCATTGTTGACATTTCCAAAAGCTTAGCCCGCAGTTTTTGAAGATAAGGTGAATTTGGCGACCTAAATTTTGTCAAAACTGGCTTTTTTTCCGAGTTTTTCGAGCTCGGCGGCGAATCTTCTATTAAAATGTTCTTTGTATTAATTTCTATACATTTTCGAAGCAGGTTTCTTCGAAGCCAAGCTTAACGAAGCCACAAAAAGATTACTTCCGATGAAAACAAGGAAGAAAATCAATATGAAGCTATTCTTGCAATTATATAGCGTCTTCTGGATGTAGAAGTCACGATCTTTCATAGTTTATTTCTTGAAAATGTTCAAAAAGGAATTTTTCATAGTGATGAGGCTGTTTTTCTTCTTGATACTTGCTCCATCGATAACTAGGGCTCAGGTTCGAAGTAATTCACCTCTATAGTGGCCACTATTTTCCGTTTCAGTGGACACTTTAGAGGTGTATCTACTACTACTACTGAACTAAATAGAACTTTAGAGGTGTTCTATTTAGTTCAGTAGTAGTAGTAGTAATACTTAGACCTCTATAGTGCCCACTAATTTTCAACCCTTAAGTGGCCACTAATTTGACTGCTATAGTGACCACTAAAACATCAAAACCATATGGTGCCACTTAAAATTTTCCCAGTTAATAACGCGAATCGGACGTGTCGGCGCATTTCAAGTGACCACTTTAGTATCTTTAGCACTCTTAAGTGATCCCTAGAGTTGCCCAGAAATGTCCGAAGCACGTTCTTTTCGGGTCACCAATGTCCGAGAGGTTATATGAAATGAGATTGGTTCCAATTTTTCTGTTTTATTCTTTTTAAGTACATGCTCTTGCTCTTTTTTTTCAAATAAAGACTCGATAAACAACGGATATTTCGCAATATATTTTCTCAAAACGGACGAACTTTCCAGTTTCCATGACTAACTGCCCATATTTGCACTTCCACCCTTTTTCCTAATGGTTTCTGATCCGAGTTGTACAAATAATCGACCGGAAGGAATTTCCTTCCCTCCCCCCGTTACAAGGCGTGTCCTTGAAGCAACTTTTTCTGTCCTTTGATATTCTTTTATTTCCCACAAACCCTCCGATGTTCAAATTTTCGCTGACGACATATAAGCTATCAAAGTGATCCGTATTACAAAAATTTTGAATTTGAAACGGGCTTCTTCTCCAATTTTATTAGATTCGTTATTCCAGATGTCGTTCGATTTCGACTTAACGGCACCTTTCATGCCGGAATTTTCCACACGAGACCAGCATGAACACCGGCACAAGATTCGGCCCGTACAGGTGTCTATTTTAAGTTTTTCTTGATAGAAAGAGGGTTTCATAATTTTATAAATTTTTTTGGAAACCGTATCATAATTTTTTTCATGAGACTCGTTTCTAGATTTTTTTGAAAGTTAGGAAGGTATTATCTAGTATGGCAAGTTTATTCGTTGAAAAATCAAAATTTTGATGATATCCTTTCACCTCAATTCAAAAAGCCATTCCAAACGCGGCTCTCCTGGGGATATTTTTAGTGGACTCTTTAGGTTTTTCAAGTTTCAGTGGCCCCTTAAGCGGCTAAAAATTAGTGGCTTCCTTAGAAATCTAGGGGTACTACTAGACCACTAAAACACTATAGTGGCTTCTATAGAGGTGGTTTGAGTGGCCACTTTAGTGTTCTCTTCAAGTAGTCCTTGAGGAATCTCTTAAGTGGCCACTAGAGTTTTTTCCCAGGCAAGTGTCATTTTGATCGGAATAGAGAAGCTTCTTCTTTTTCTCACGTCTTTGTACCGCCTGAGGTATATCCTGTTATCAATGATAATCAGTATATTGGTTCTAGTGACATTTCCGTCCTTGTGTGTGAGTTTTCAGGATTTAGAAGGCCATGGTTTTCCACTAGCAAAATTTCCTAAACCCCTTGGTTGGGTCGGGGATCGAACTTGTGACCCTGTGCACCGTGGACAAGCACACAAACTGTTGCGCCACAACGCGTCATAGAGATAACTGAGTTGGAGTATAGCTGATTCACGGCTGGCATGAGCCATCGAAAAAATGGTCCTGACACGATAATGCACGAGATAGCGCCTGGCTCGTGGAGAGCGTAGACAGGGCACGCCCCCAAGCTGGCCGTGAATCAGCTATAACAAAATGTCTCATTTTCAGATAATCGCCCCGTCGAGCCTGGGAAGCGGTCGATTTCGGTTGAACGAGAGCGCCCTCAATTCCGTCTTGGGTCATGCCGGATGCGCCAATAAAAAGGTCATTTTTTGACCAATTTTCTCAAAAATCAACTGTAAATTGGTAGAAAAATTAAGCAGAAGTGTAACCGGGGGCTCAGGCTCTCAAGATTTTCCGAATTCCGGTAGAATCGCGGTAAAAAAAAAAGAGTGTGGGAGCTTTCAGTATTTCTAGGGAGGGGGTATTATTCCCGACTTTTTTTCCTGCGGGATTCCCCATTCCTACCGCGGGAGAAAATGTTGAAGTTCAGTTGTATAGGTCATTCTGCGCCAGCTTGTCACGATTTTCAGTTTATTTGGGGCTACAGTAGCCCTTTCGGCGCTTCGCTTCGATGCTCTCGGTGTGCCCTCTTGCGTGCGCCTTTAATAAAACATTATTTCCCAACTCTGGAATTTTCTTATTCTACAAAAAAAGTTGTAACATAAACTTTTTGTATCAAACCAACCCAAAAAAATTTCATGCAAAAAAAAGCTCGAACAGTGGGTTTCATTAATAACAACTGAGAAGTAATAATTCAATTTTTTTGATCTTCTTTTTTTCTTACAAATCCGGCACGGAATCTGAGTGTGTATAGTTAAAGCGAAAAAGGAAATCAATCCATTGAAAACAACCTCGTAAATTAATAAAAGAGAGAGGAAATTGAAACAACATCTTAATCAAAAATAATGGTTTATTAAAGGCGCACGCAGGGGGGAACACCGAGAGCATCGAAGCGAAGCGCCAAAAGGGGTTCTGCAGCTCCAAGGAAATATCCTTATTATTGTAGGCACTATTAATTACTGTGATCAATCTCTAACTGAGTGCATTTTTTTCGGTTCTTTAAAGCTTTATATGATGAGGAATCCGAAAAAAAGTTATATTAAAGTTAAAAAAAGTATAGTCTTTTTCAACTTCCTACCTCAAAAAGTTACAATTTTTCCGGTTCGTTTAGGGAAACTTTTCTTTTTTTACTTTATTTCTACATAATCATTTATATAGACCGTTAGATTTTTTCTCCATTAATCAAGGTGAATTTTCCTCTAGAGGTAGGTATTGATTTCTTGATCGATAATTGAAAGTTATCCATTTTTCGAGAAAGAAATATTTTTTTCATAGCTTTCAAGAATAATTATGAAGACCCCGAGGATCACCTGGACTCCTAATGACCAGATATCCGTCTTCATTCCCCCTTATCTTTACCCAAAAAAAGAAGAAAAAAATCGAAATTCTTTAAGCGAATCAAGTTTTTTTCCGCTTCTCAACCCAATTTTTTTCCGGTTCCTTGTCTTTTCTTTTGAAGATGAAAAAACAGAATGCGGATCGAAAGAATTTTTTTCAATCGAATCAATGATGTAGAAAATAAATAATGTTTTCGCTTGTTGGTGGGCGTGTCTAGGTTGCTTAGCGCCGAGTTCCGTCCTCGAAGAAAACTCCGCCGTCGAGGGCGCAGTACCTGGAAAAGTTGAGATTTTGAAGGGTTTTTTTTTTAGGATTTAGAAGGTTTTGGGGCTAGAGAACGTAAGTAGAAGTTGGAAATGCACAGAACAGTTTTTTAAGAATTAATAAGATCAAAAATGGTTCAAAAGACCAAAACTCATGAAGGAAACCGATAGCTCGAATTTTTCAAGATTAATCGATGAGAAAAAGGTTTGGAAAGTTTCAAAGGTACCTACATTACCAGAAAAGAGTTTGAGGGGCTCGAAAGGCTTGATATTGGATTAAATAAGAAATCGTATGACCTTTTATCACAATTTTAGTGATTTGAAGGAGTACGAAAACAGTTCTATCTGAACTTTGGGAATAATTTTACGATTATTGAGGATTTTGGTAAAGTTAAAGGTTGGAAATTGTTTGATAGCCAAGATAGGACTGGTTAAAGTGAAAATGACATATTTAGTAAGGCATGATTGGAAGAAATACGCGGTTCGGTAGGCGAACTAGGACTGCTTGAAGTTAAACTTCCACTTTGGTAAAGACAGGCTTCCTCGAATTTAAATTTTTTAAACTGACTACTTTATTTCACTATCCCTTATCAGTTCAATTCTTTCAAGAAATAAGGAAAGACTCACTTGGGGCAGATACCCTTCTCTCCTGGCTGGCCATCGGCACCAGCTTGTCCTGGCTTGCCAGGCTGTCCGTCCTTTCCGTTCTCTCCATTTGGTCCAGCTGGACCCTTTGGTCCAGGAGCTCCTGGAGCTCCGTCGATTCCGTTGCTTCCTGGTGGTCCTGGTGGTCCCTGCTGTCCGGGCGTTCCTGGGGTTCCTGGTGGTCCTGGCACGACTGGCTCGGACTTGGCCTGCTCTCCTGGCTCTCCTGGGGCTCCTGGCTGTCCAGGTGGTCCTGGGGGTCCGGGTGGTCCCTTTGGTCCGGGCTCTCCTGGCGCGGCGTCTGGTCCCTTTGGTCCTGGCTCTCCGCCTGGTCCGTTGTCTCCAGGAATTCCCTGAGGTCCTGGTGGTCCGGGTGGTCCGGCTGGGCATGGCTTGCATGGTGGTGGTGTGGCTGGCTCGCAAGGCTGCTGTGGCGGACGTCCTGGGTTTCCGGGCTGTCCGGGCGCTCCAGGCTTTCCAGGCTTTCCTGGCTTTCCTGGGGATCCCTGGGGTCCCTGGGGACCTGGAAGGCAGCACCCGGCGCACTGCTCATTGTAAGAAGCACCACGAGCGGTGCGGTTAGCGGCGAGCGGCAACTCGCGGATCGAGTAGACCGACGACCAGACGTCCTTCGCGGAGCCCTGCAATTTTTTTGGTCATTTTTTGAGGTAGATTTTTGTCGAAAGTCTTTTTTGGACGCTCAGTAGCTCTGGTAGAAAGAAGGGTTTGGCTTAATTGATGAAACAGGTTGAAGTAAAAAGGTACTTTATGAATAAGCCATGAAACCAGGAAACCAGAATTAGGGGAATTAAAGGCCGGCAAACCGTAGAAAAATATTTTTAGGGAAATTTTTCAAGACCTTATAGCCAATTTTCAATTTTAGGCTCAAAATGAGGCCTCGAAATGTTTCCAAAATTAAAGATCACATGGAATGGTTATATGTCCAAACAAGAAAATAAATAGACCGAGCTCTAAAAGTTGAAGTTATGATACAGGATCGTGTGATTTGAGCAAATACAAGGACAGACCAGGAAATATTATTTTTCAAAACACTTTTCATACCAGAAAAGTTTTAAACTCAAGAAAATACATTTCCAAGCCTTGAAACTAGCATAATAAAGTCAAAAGATTCAAGAAAATGAATCAGAAACCTTGCACGAGCTGAGCTCGACGTGCATCTGAGTGCGCACGTGCTGCACATAGTTGTAGACCATGGGCAGGGTGACGCAGACGCTGAGAACAGCGACAGCCGAAAAAGTGACGGCGGCGTAACCGACGAATCGGTACGCCTTGATCTTGGAATCGATGTCCATTGCCAGACGACGACGAAGTGTCGGTCAGACCTCGCCGACCTTAAATACGACCGCCGGCCGACCCGCCTCTACGGCTTCTTCCAAGTTTTTTTTTTCGCCCCCGCGCCGACGCGCCTCCCTGTAGGGACATTCCGTTCGACAACCGATTTATGGTTATTAAGCTGGCTTTGATTGGGTTCATGGAATTATTATTGAGGGGTAATAATTGTGATTTTACAGTACCTAATGAACTAGGTATTCTTTGGAAAGCTATGATTTTTCTGTAACTGTTTTGAAGGATACTTAGTCATTAGAGTGGTCTTGATTGGGTTCATGACGATTAGCAAGAGGTAATAATAACCATTTAAAGTGAACGTGCAGAGTTTGAACACTCTAGAAGTCTGCTAGAAGGCTTTCGGTAAGTTACCTGAGAATTTTACCTTCCAAGGACCTCCCAACTACCTTTCGAACGCCTTCCGAAGGCCTTCTCAAGACCTTCTAGCTTCCAATCGCCTTCGCAACACCTTTCCGGAATTCGCCTGAGTTTGAAAAGGTCATTACAGTTCTTCACTGAAAATTATTTCTATAAGGACCGTCTGCAGATATTTTCTATCCGATTTCTGATCTATGATGGTTAGGCGCAGACTTGTTCTGCGCCATTTGGGTTCAGGATGAGTTGGGAATTTTGATTAGGTTTATGAAAATTATTAAGAGATGATAATCATCATTTGACAGTCCTTGATAAACTGGACGTTCTGTGGAAAGCTATGATTTTATTTCAGGTACATAAAAAGATTTGTAGTCACAAGAGCGGATTTGATTGGGTTCATGAGAATTATTGACTTTAAAAATCAAATGGTTTCTCGTGACCGGAGGAACAAGGACTATAAACCCTCCAAGAAGAAGCTGGCTTTGAGAGCCCCTAACTTTTTTCACAGGCTTCGAGGGCAGTTTTTGAGACCACATTTGGAATCAGCATGAAAAACTACATCTAGTTAGCTTGGTCTCATTCAGAAGTCCCACTGCGAATGGAGGCCATTCCCTAGTGAGAGGTAATGGTTATCATTTGAAACATTTACTATGTGGGAAGGTCATTTCAGTACTGAACATTAACTGAACATTCGTTCTAGAAGAACCATCTGCAGATTTTTCCTAGCCAAGGCGATTTATGATCTACGAGCTGAATTTTATTAGGTTCATGGGGATCGTTGAGGGGTTCTGATTATGATAACTTTATCTGAAGGTGAAATAATGCGTTTCAAAGGTCCTTTAAAGTATTTTACAAACTTTTTAGCTGTGAATTGTAAATTGAGAGCTTTAAATGGGTTTTTGAGAGTTTATTCTCCTCATTTTCAGTCACCCTAACACTCGACTTTGACAAAAGTTTATGAAGAATACCATTTAAAAATTTGGAGCTTGAAAAAGAAGTTAATCTTTCATTTTAGCTCAAAAACGTGTTAGGAGGCAGGGAAAAATAATTATTTGATTTCTTTTCGCCGCTTTTTGATTTTCAAGTCTTTTTTTCCTTAATTTTTTTGTGTTTGACGTGAAATGAACTCAGTGAGAAAACTTGGAGCGCTTTGATTTTTGAGAAGAAAAAAAAAAGAAAAAATAGCCTTAAAAGGGAATTTTCTAGCATGATTGACATAAAGTTCATAAATGAAGTTTTTTTTTCGTTAGAGACAGATCTGTCGTTAATTTGATCAGATTACCTATCCAGTTTAAAAAAATTTAAAGAAAATGCCTCAATTCCATGCTGTTCTCGTTTTCAGCTTGAAATATGTCTTTCTTGGAATGTTTCGGATTCGATTAAAGAACGTTTTTCTCATTTACCAGTTTACCGACCTTCGCTCATTTTTTTTTTTGACAACCTTCGCTGAAAGCTTCAAGTTGAAATCAATCAAATCCCAATGATTTGACCTTATAAATCGACACTTTTGGCTGACGGCGAAACGAGCTGCACGGAGCGATCCGCCGCCGCTTTTTAGCCGATACGATTTTCTCGCAGCGGGGAGATTTCTGCGGAAAAATTGCGAAGAACAAAACGACGCCCTTTCCGACGTCACATCGCGTGTTTCAAGCCCCGCGCGTTCCAATCGGCCGTTCGCTGCCAGATTTGGGAGGGGTTAACTGCACGATTTCTCCCCTCGAGAATTAGGGCTTGATTTAGGGATTTGGGTTTAAGAACACTTACTGAGAAACACTTTAGTGGCCACTTTTAATAATTTAATAATTTATTGACAGATCAGCGTGAACCCTAACGAGTTCACTTGGATCTAGAATTTGAGAGAATACATTATACAGTTATACATCATTTGAGTCGTGGAGGAATAGACAAGAAGATCTCGTGCAATGGTAGATTGACCAGTAAGTTTTTTAAAGACTTGGGGTGGTGGCTGAATTGAAATTTGGAAGTGAGTTTGTTCCAAGTAGGAATTGTTTTAAAGAAAAAATCATTAGAAAACTGACCTTGAGAACGCAGTCGAAGTGGATTTCGCCTTAAATTGGACCTGAGGGCAAAAAGTTCGAACTGGGGAAAATGATCGATACCGAAGACAATTTTATGAAGGGTCAGAATGTCAGATATAGCTCGTCTGAGGTAAAGTGGAGAGATATCAAATTGTTCAAGGCGATCAGAGTAAGATTCAAAGGATAAGTTGGACCTAATAAAAATTTTACGAGAAAAAATTCTGAGAGGAGATTCCAGTTTGTAGCAGAGATCAGAGTTAAGGGGAGGGTTAAAAAAACTTCGGAGCAGTATTCTAGAATAGGCCTTACATAGGTGTTAAAAAAATTTTTGAACAATAGATCAGGTGATTTGGAACGAAAAACAGTTGAGTATCTGATTGGAACGAAGGGTTGCTAAAGAAACGATATTGTTAATGTGAGGAGCGAGAGTTAGTTTATCATCGATAAGAACACCTAGATCACGGATAATGGTTTTTCTGGGAATAGACAGACCATTGATTAAATAAGTTGTTTTGGGATTGAGGGGACCAAGGTTGATAGCAAAAGTTTTGTGCGCAGCAAGAGGCAAGCCCCAAAATGGAAGACCATTCAAATATGGAATTAATACTACGTTGGAGAGATTCAGGGTTAGAACTGTAAATTTTTTTATATCATCAGCGAACAGAGAGATTGAGGTTTCATGGTCAATGTAGTTAACAATATCATTGATGAAAAATTAGAAAAAAAGCAAAGGACCAGATACAGTTCCTTGAAGGACACCGGAAGTATTGAGATAAGTAAGAGAAGAACGAGATCCATCGATCAGAACATTAGAAACACGCTCAGATAAGAAGTTTTTTTGTACCATCGAACAACGTTTTCGTCAAGACCAAAGTTCTTGAGCTTATGAACAAGCAGAGAATGATTTACCTTATCAAAAGCCTTGGCAAAGTCAAAAATAAACAACATCGACAAATTTTTTTCGAGGCGATAGATTTTTTTGCCAAGAGGAGAGGCAAGATAGAAGGTTAAGCTTGCAAGATCGTTTGTTTAAAAAAACCAAACTGAGATTCAGAAAAACAATGAGGAGAATCTCCGGCGAATCATATCACAAATAATCCTTTCAAAGACCCGGGACAAAGGATGTGTCAAGGATATAGGGCGGTAGTTTGACGGATCTGAAGTTTTTTTCCACGTTTGAAAAATAGGAATTACCGTGGTAGATTTCCAGGAGGGTGGAATGAAACCGGAATAAAAAAAGATTCGTTAAACAGAATAGACAGAGGAATAGAAATAGATGTAGAGCACCTTTTTTTAAAAACAAGTTGATTGATTAAGTCAGGCGAAAAAAACCGCATTTGGGAGGTAAAGCTATCAGAGTTTTATAAACAAGTTCAGGAGTGAACGAAATAGAGCAGTTAGTGGCTTTTTGGGGAAGGGAAAAATGGGCATCAAATCGTAAACTTCATCAGAAAAAAATTTGTGCTAAAAAAATTTGAGCAAAAAAACATCTGCTTTTGAGGAGCTTTCAGAAATAAGGGAATTGTTGTAAGTAATGTTGGGGATGGAAGAACAACATTTGAGTTTTTTGGAGATATATTTGGAAAGTTGAACATGGTTGAAATTGTTAGCAATGTAAGTTTCCTGTGCCAGGGAGATGGAGGAGGCACAAGCTTTGATTTTTTTATACAGTAGATTGAATTGGAGGCGAGTAGAATTATTGAAAAAGATTAGCACGAATGAGACTGGCTCTTTTAATATTTAGCCGGCGAATACGATTGTCATGGTTGAATGGGCGACGACTGAGGGGGAGTTAGAAAAACTAGAACAGGAATCACGAACAATTTCATTAAAAAAATTTTTTTAAAAAAATGAGAAAAATTTACTACACTTGAGAGGTTCCTCAAGGACTACTTAGAGATGACCCTAAAGTGGCCACTGAAACCATCTCCATAGAAGCCACTGAAGTGGTTTTTATTGGTCTAGTATCAGCAAAGACTCCTAAAGAGGCTAATTAGTTTGAGTCACTTTAGTGGCCACTTACACGTCAGAACCCTAAAGTGGCCACTAAAACCATCTCCATAGAAGCCACTATTTTGCGTCTTAGCGCCGACTATAGTAGTTTTCAGCGGCCTAATAGTACTACTCAGACTTTCTTTGAATTTGAGCCTCTTAAGTGGCCACTAGTTCTACTACTATAGGGACCACCAAAATGCCGAAACGCTAAAGTGGCCACTGAACATTTTTACAGTGTAGCCGAAGGAAAATATTTTTTTTTTTTTTTGAAAATTGACCGTGAATTAGCTGAGTTTCGGTCAATTTTATCAAGATCCCGGATTGGACTTTTCACCTTTTTTTTTTTCATTAAGAGATCGGTTAGCATTGGCTTCTGTCGTTTCAGTATTTCCAACAGAAAAAGAACAGTTTGATTTTTTGAAGATCGAATGGAATCTCTTGGAACTTACTTACAATTATCGGAGGCCTCTGTGAAACAACAAACTCATGAAGAATATTTCAAAAAAAAAAAATTCTAAAGTTTTACGAAAGCAAAGAGATAATATTTTTCTGAAGAAAAAAAGCTTTCACGAATACATGAAAAAATATTTAATTTGGAGCTTTTCAGGTGGTCGTGATCAGTGTGGCCGGTGCGTTTCGAAAAGGAAAAAGTTTTTTGCTCAACTTTTTCCTTGAGTACCTCTACAATCTCCACAAGGCTCAACAGGTGCATTAAATGGACAGTTATACGGTTTTTGATGAAAAAATGGCCTTGAAAATTTATCACAACTCTTAGTCGGTAAAAAAACAAACGTTCTTTCACAAAAATCCAGGAATGAATAAATTTGAAAAATTTTTTTAAAGTAAAAGCTTGAAAAAAACAGATTTACTTTCCAAATTTGAAATTTTTTTTTTAACGATTTATGAACATTTATTTTCTTTTCCAAAGTTATAAAGTCATTTAGAAAAAAAATGGAGAAGTAAAGCTCAAAAAATATTCTATTTGTTGAAATACGATTCAAAATTTCATACTTGGGAAAGTTTTTTTTCTGGGAGCTTTCATAGCCGTACTGAAAAAAACTCCTAGAACTTTTGAACAGTTATTTTAAATCCCGGATGAGGAGTTTCCTTGCGAAAGTTTCGAAAAACAGACGAGAAAAAATGAGCTTTAACCTCAGAGAGGTCTAATAACATTCGAGAAAAAAGAAAAAAAAAATTAAAATTGATTTTTCATTTTTCCGAAGAGTACTGTACGTGAAATTCTGCATTCGGAGGTGTGCACTTTGTAGCACCAAATTGTTCTGTCCAAATTCGAATTCAAAAAAGCGAATTTTAAACCAACTATTCAATACGTGTCTCCCATACCGGTAAATCGCTCGTGAGGGCGTTTTTATATCGGGTTCCCTTCACTCAAATTCTTCCTTTTCAAATACTCTGTATTTTCTTGTTTGAGTGGAATAAATAGATAAATAAACCAAGGATTGAAGACAGATTCGTCGATGGACTGGCTGACCGACGAGTGTCAACTCCACGGCTTCCACTGGAGGTCCGGCGCCAAAAGAGACACGGTCGGGATCTGGCTCTGGGGCGAGCCGATCATGATCGAGGCGCCCAGCGGCGAAATGTACGCCGTCTTGTTGGTCCGTGCCTTCATCTCCTTCCATTTCCAAAACCCAATCTTTTTCACTTTTTCTAACGATTTTTTGTTAGGGACATCTAGTTCAGAGCTCTCTTCTGGAATTTCTATGAATTTGGCAGATCTGGTTCAAACTAGCTTTTTTTTTGCCCATGCTAGTTTGTAGATCAATCGGTCAAAACCCTTTTTTCCTCATTTAAAAAAGATTCTCTTAGAATTCCAGTTAAACGAAGATTTTCAGATGGACACTCAGGGAACTTTTGACAATTCTTCGACTTATCAACAATGTATGACGATTTTCGCGCTCTCGACGATTGTTAGTAGTGTACAGGTGAAAATCAAAGTCTTACCTGACTATAATGTTTCTCGTTTGGTTAAAATTGAAAAAGAAGAAAACGAACAATTCGAGAAAAAGTGAAAATCATTCATTTGAACTTTTCTTATGCGGTTCAAAGGGGTTTGGTGAAATTCAAAAGAGCCGTCAGAGAATGGAAAAGATAACTGAATTTGAGAGAGTCAGAGATAATTTTACTTTTCGCTCAAATTACTGTCGACATGGCATTAGATTTTGATCAAAATGGATCTTTTTAATGATAAAGTTTTTTTTTTCTCAGAAGAAAATCTTGAATTTTTCATAGTTCATCTCAAAAATTATCTGGAAATTACAGATTTACAACGTTGTTGATAATATACAAGAAGACGCCCTGCAGCACCTGTCATTATTCGTCGAATATGGCAAAATGGCGATGAATGAAGCTCAGGGGTTCGGGAAACCGTTTCAGGTCGGTCGCAGATGATATAGGGCCTTTCTATTTAAAATTAGATTCATGAAAATGCGAAAAAAAAAGCTTCAGTTTTCCTTATAAGTTATCTTATTTCAGACTTTATGTTTTTGTGTCCGCGACTTTAAAAATCAAGAAGAATACGAACTGGGCGACGTCGGCGGCGCTGACTTTCTAGCCAATGTTATGCAGGTTTTATTAATTTTCTTTTAAAAGCTCTTTCCAGAAACTTGAAAAAATTGAAAAAAAATTAGAATTCAAGCTTTAGCTAAATTAAAGGCATAGGGGCAGTAAAAAATGGGGTTTCAGGTGAAAGCAGTATCTTAAACAGTTTTTCTTTACGAATCCAACTGTGTGCTCAAAAAAATTACAGATGTAACAACTTTAGAAGAAAAACGCGATTTTACTTTCCCGCCTTTAATTTTGAAAAAAAAGCTTTGGATCGGTATGCAGACAAATGTTTACAGTAGCCGTACACGCGATGTTGCGGACGTCTCATTAGACTCGCATTTTGGGAGAAATAACCGGATTTCTGCTTCAAGTTAAGGGTTTCTTCTTTGAAAAGTTGATTAAGAAAACAAAAAACACACATTGATAATAAAGGAAACACAAAATATCGCTATCCCAATCGAAACCTGTGTAAAATCATCATTTTTCACCAGAAAAGCATTTTTGCGAACAAAGTTTGCTAATTATACATGAATAGAAAGTTTTTGTGACGAAAAGAAATTTGGTGACAACAGAAAAAATTGAAATTTGAAAGAAACAAAGGAAAAAGCGAAAATCCGGAAGATGGCGAAGCCTGTTGTCCATAGAGCAACTTTACTGCAAGGCGCCCTTTTCGCGGGAACTCAAACTTTCCTCTCTCCGACTTCGAATTATTTTTTCTCCAAAACTATGAACTTCTGTACATTTCCAAGTTCACCGTTCGATTCGCAATGAAAAGCTCTACAAAATACTGCTTTGAACTGAAACACCGTTTTTTACTGCCCCTATGCCTTTAACCATTTTTGATTAAAAGAGAGAATTGTTTTATGAGGTTTTTCGTATGTTATTTTTTGGTGTCGCAGCTCTTGGACTTTCTGTTATAGAAATCGCAGTTTTCAATTCGTTTTCTTATTTTTTGACTCTTTAAACAAGAACAAAAATTCTCATGAGATTTACAAAAAAAAAAAAAAAAATCAAAAAGTTTTGAGTTTGATTTTTTTGTTTGAAAAAGTAGACATTTTTCTCTCAGACCTCCCCTTCCCAACCAGACGAGCTCCGGTCGGTCCGTGAGCAACTTCACGAGTATTTCGAGAATATCATGTGTTATTTATTGCCTCATCCCGGCTATAAGGTTGCAGAACGGCAGAGTTTCCGAGGACATGTCAAAGGTATAACGATTTTGAAACGTTTTGGATCCAAGAACATTTTTTTCAAAAAAAGGATATTCAATGGAAATTCATTTCTTCAAAAGGCAGTTATAATCAAATTTGACTGATTCTCCAAAAAGGTAGCTTATTTTACTTTGCGTCAAAGAATTTCGTGAAACTAGACCAGGAAACTCTTCGAAAATGGAGCAAAAAAATTTTTTGTCGAAATTTTTTCTAAGATGGGCATAAAATGGTGAATTTCAAAATTTTGAGCTGTTCTCTCACTCCATCATCAAAACTTCCTCATTTTTCGAATAAAAAAAAATTGGCAAAAAAAATTTCCCCAAAAAGGGACCGAACCTGCATCATAGGTTTCACAGCGCAAGGCCGCTAGCCACTACACCACGCCGCCTGCTGGAAGCTAGAGTTAGCCGCCGCAACACATTCCCTCCCCCCTTACAATGCATTTTTTGCGTGCAAACTTTGAGGCGCCCTAACTCGACTGAAACCAAAAAGGCGCACTTTTTTTCAACTGCTTTGGATTCAGGGTGTTCGGAAGTACCTATATACCAAGTTTCATTAAATTCCAATACCTCGACCTTTCGCACTTCCCGTGTGAGTAGAAAGTTGTGCAGGTTGAGACTTCCAGAATCTTTATCTGCCTATTCAAAAAGGGTTCTGATAGATTTGGGAAATGTTCCGCGCCGCAAATTAAAATGATCTGCCTTGTTAGAAGTTTCAAGCTTCTATTGGATCAATTTTTTTTTCAGACCTTCGATTCTCAGGAAATTTTGATTTTTTAAAGTCTTCCAGACCTCCGACCAGTTTTCCGAGAAGAACTCAAGAAAATGGTCCCGAATTTGTTATCGCCACACGCGTTGAGACCCAAAATCGTGAATGGCAAACCCGTGACCTGCCGGAAAATGATCCACTACTTCAAAGTACCCTTTTCTGGAAATAACTTCACGACGCTTCGAATTGAAGGAATACGCGGCGTCGTTCGATGGAAACTCTCTGCCGGAGCCGATGAGCATCCTGAACGCCAACGCCAAGTTGATCTGCATGGAAGCGGCTCACGAGGCGAAAGTCGCTTATTGTCGGGGCATGGACAGGGTAATCTTGATAGAAATAATTCGTTAAAAGTTTGAAAAATCCGCGCACTCTTCTATTTCTATTGCTCTCTCTTGGTCTGTCTTCCTCGATGAGAGAAAAGAGAGCGCAGAGGTCAAAGAAATCAAGGGAGGAAGGAATTATCTTCCCAAGTTCAAATGAAAAAGGTCTCTGAATTTTCCAATAAAGGCTATATTTATGTGTCTTTTTAACTCTCAACTCTTGAAATCGCAAAAAAAAAAGTAATTGAAATTTAATCCTGAATGTAGAGCCTTCAAAAAGGTACAAGAAAAGACTCAGGCCCGTAAAAAGTACATTTTTGAACCCGTAAAGGGAAAGATGTTTTTAGTGGGCACTTTAGGGATTGACATTTTAGTTGTCTCTTTAAAGGAAAAAAAAAACTACTATAGTGGCCACTTAGACGTAACAACTTGTTTCTATAGAGGTGTTTTCAGTGCCCCTCCAAGTAAAGTGGCCCCTAGGTTTTTCCAGGATTTTCAATTTTTTTTTTTCCGATCTTTGGTTATTACGAAAATTCTTTTTTTTTTCTCAGTCGACGTTTTCTTCTCGCATGATGTCCGAGAAGAAACTCCTCGAAGCCCACATCAAGCACGGCATCACGGCGTTGAACATCTACGACAAGTGTCCCAAGATCGGCTCCAACGAGGTCCGCAGTCGGCTTCTCGAGAAGCTCCAGGAGGATATCAATGTTCGTATTTTGTTTCAAACTGGAAATTTCACATTATTCCGAATCAAGATTGAAATCCTAGAAAAAATATAGTCTTTTCAGATTTTGAATGTCAAGTCGCTTCTAAAGCTCCGCCCCTTATGGCGCGATAAACCAATCAGAGAGCGAGCCATCCACAGAGTGTTATTGAATGACGTCATTGCACTTGACATTAAAAATCTGAATGAACTATAATAGGATTTGACAATGTTGATTATGAATCTAGGAAGAGCTGAAACTGATTCTTTAGCCTCAGAAATTTTACTGAGAAAGAAAATTTGAACTTCTAGAGCGGTCTTTGTTAAGTATGTAAAATAGGCTAAAAAGGCTAACTAAGAAATAAGAACACGTGGAAGATTAAACCACTATATACGTAAGGGTCTAATACCACTGATCATTATTTCAATATTCACTCTCGCCTCGTCTCAACCGATTCGCCTACCACGTCTTCCGTCGACAACGCCGCAGACGACGCCGACTGACTCGACTACCTCTTTTTACATATGACCTAATTTGCCGCGTGTAAAACACTTCCTTAAATGAAACTTTTTGGTGTAAAAAGAGGTAGTCGAGTCAGTCGGCGTTGTCGACGGCGGCGGACGGCGTGGTAGGCGAAACGGTTGAGGCTAGGCGAGAGTGAATATTGAATTGATGATCAGTGCATCTAGACCCTTATATAGTGGTCTAATCTTCCACGCGATCTATTTCTTAGTCACGCCTTTTTTACATACTCAACAGTCTTTCAATCAATAAATCAATAAATCGATCCTAGACACATTCACAAAAGACTGGTACCTCTAGTGACCAATTTTTTTTTTCCAGAGCTCCGTTTTGGCCTAGATTACTTTTCTGACCACTTATTTTTTTAGGCATCTTTTCTAGATCATTGAAATTTTAGGCCGAGTTGGAGAAGTACAAACGACAAAATGAAGCCAAAAGAGTGACGGGATGTGCTTCGGCGATGCTTGCCTGTGGAGACTCGGTACTGCTTGGAATCGGGCTCGGCGGAGCGGCTGGAGGTGAATCCAAAAAGCTTTGTGTATAGCCCATCCCGAGTCATGTCACGATTCTTTAGACTCCCGAGCTACAGTAATATTTTCTACGATGCACGCGGCCTGTTCCCTGTGCGTGCGCCTTGAATTTAACTGGGAAATGTTTGCTTTTTTAAAGGCGCATACATAGAGACAGGCTACGAGTATCAAGGAGAAGGTTGTGTAGTTGATAATCCCCAAACATGTAACTTCATCATTTTTTAACGTTCACTAAAGTTTTTTTGAAGGACAGAGCTCGGGCATGATCAAAATATCTCTATAATAGTTTATCTCATTCTTTTTCCTTCGAATCAATATTTTCTTGAATTTCGCCCTGCTACTTTGAACTCTCCAGAGTAGCTTATGGAAAGGATTGTACTTTCAACAAGAAAAATCATATTGACCAAAATGAAGCTTTTGGAAACGAGAGGCCAGCCTACAAGTAACAAGTGGGAAGGGAGACAAATTTGAGATTTTTTAAGACCAGATTTAATTGAAGATAATTTCCAGGAGCCGTGGCTGGCGCTGTTGTCACACTTCAAGCCGGTATTGTTAGCTTGGGTGAGTTTAAAGATCGAGAATTATTTTTTTTTTGAATGAGAGGATCAGATCGTTATCACCTTTTAACATTTTTTGACTTATGGAAAACATTTTAACTGAAAAAAACCAACTTTTTCAAAGCTTCTGGGATTGTTTGACTGAGAGGAACTTTGATATTTCTTTCGAGTTTTTTTCAAAAGATTCAACCTTTTAAAAAAACCTGATTTTTTTAAAAGCTTACATGAGTTTCGCGGTCAAAAAAAGCGTCGCAGTTCATTTTTTCAATCATTTTTTAAATAATTTTTTTTTTCATTGAACTGGTTTTTCGATATAATTGAAGAGTTATACCGCGTCACTTCTAGAATTTTTTCAATGATGTAAAAAAAATAATATATTGAGCATTAAAGGTTTTGTTGTAATATTAATAACAGAAAGGCTGATTTTTTTCCTTCAAAAATTTCCAAATTTGATCACCTTAAACGTTTTATTTTTTTATTTTTTTGGGACTTACCTAAGTTTTGCGCTCAAATGCCGTCTCCGTTTTTTTTCTTTCTTTTTTTAAATGCGATTTTTTTAAGGAATCGTGGCCATTCCAATCTCTCTATCCACGCTCTTCCTTATCTGGGCCTACGTCTGGACGAAACCCTTCGTCGAACGCGTTTTCAGTAAAGAATAATCAATTTTTTATTCCATTCCTTTCCTTGTATATGTATAGATTTTACGATTCTAGGCCTTTCTTTGTAAAATTTCGGTTCATTGCATTTTATCTCGACGCCAAATCAGCTCTTTTTCATTTTTTATGGATAGTCTACCTTAGATTTTGTCTCACTGCTTCTATTTTTCCAATTTCTTGCTCAAGTTCAGTTTTTTCCTTCAAAGCATAATTGTGATCCGATCACTTATCAAAACTAACAAAACGGTTCGATTTCCCATATCCCAGTGCCTCAAATATCTCTTTTTTTATGAGAAAAATTTCCTATTCTTGTTGATTTTTTATTGATTTTGTATGAAGTTTATCTTGCTGATATGCGAATTTCAGTTTTTTTAGAGAAATCTGGAAAAAAATATTTTATTAATCGGAAAAATAGGTTTTGAGGTTTTTCAGAACTTCTTCAGAGACTTCAAGGTGAGTTCTTAATTTTAAATTTAAATTTTTTTCGATTTTTTTATTGATTAAAAAAACAACCACTGTATGTACTGAGTAAGTACTTGACTAATAGTAAATGAAATCTTTTTAATTTGGAAAACATCCATTTTTCTAAAAAAATAAAAGAGAAATTTAGTGAATTTCTATATGGTAGATGGATGAATGGGAATGAAGCTTTTTTTAATACTTAAACTTGGAATTTTTTCTTTTTTTGAAAATATTTGAAAGTATTTCTTATCCGGGACTGTTCCAATTCACCCGAGTACGGAGGGTCCCCTCTAGTGACCACTTTACCAACCCCTATAGGGGTCACTAAAGCTTCCAGAAGTGGTCCCTATAGGGTACATGCTAGTCGATGATTGTTATGAACTCGAAGAAGCATTTCCATAAGGAAAAATAAAATTGAAATTGAAAAATGAAATTGAAAGACGACTTTAGGGGCCACCTTAACTTTATCTCTATAGGGACCACTTTTTCGGAGAAAGGCGGTGTTTCCCTTCCAAACCCCTATAGGGACCACTCCGGAATATCTAAGAAGGGCAGTTATGAAAAGAATAAAGAAAAAAGAACCTTTAAAGAAAATAAACTTTTTTTTTATAGTGAATTCTTGTATTCTATTTATTTTTAGCTGAATTTTTGCTCAATTCCTTGGAAAATCTCCAGTTTTCCCCCCTGGAAAATTCAACTCGAAAACCCGAACGGTTCTAGTTCTCTGGCCAAATTAAGTGATAAAAACGAGTGTGTAAGGCGTTTTGTTTTGACGATTCCTTCTGGTCGAAACGGAATCAATTGGCGGTGAGTTGTAACAAACAAAAGGAGAAGTTTCCATCGAAACTTCATTCTTCCCCCTTCTGACATGAAGACGTCTTCCGCCAAGCTCATCTGGAGCCATTTGGAATATTTCCTCATCAGCGGCACCTTGATTTTCGCCTTCTGTATCACGGGCGTCGCCATTTACCTCGCTGTCGATATTATTGACGAGATTGAAGAATTCAAAGGTGATATTCGCGTCAAGTTGGAACAGTTTCAGGTATCTTTCTCATTTGTGTGAGGTTCTTTTTGTTGAAAAACGAAAAAGGGGCTCGGAAAAGACGGAATTTCATCGGCTCTTATGCACCATTTTTTGTTGCCTTTTTCTTTTTCCACCATTTCTTGAGCCTTCAAAATCCCAGAAAAATGGAAGGCTCGATAACGGGACTCTTTTTGCTGCCTTTCTGCGGCCTTTCTGTGGCCTTTTTTAAGCCTTTCTGCGGCCTTTTTTGAGCCTTTTAGCGACCATTATCCACCGTTTTTCAGGATAGATTGAAACATGGAAAAATTGAATTAATATTGCACAAACCATTTTTCTCTGTAGTGATACTTCCAAAGATTTTTGGAAAAAAATGAAATTTTTATGCCTTTTTCGTTTTTTTCGTGTTCTATCATTTTTTTAAATCAAAAAAATTTACTGATATTCATTTTTTTAATTTTTTTCATCGACTTTTTAGAGCGGGTTTTTTTAAAAAAATCGAAGAAAAAAATTAAATTTTTTTCGCCGCGTTTATAGCTTCACTTACTATTTTTTTCGAAATAAAATCAAAGATTTCTCCCGGAAAAAGTATAATTAAATTAATTGACTATAGAATAGCGCAGTTTCTCATATTTTCATTAACGCAGTAATTTATCACATGGGAAAGTATATAAAAAACGAAAATAAATTGGAAAGTATTATGTTGTTGAGTTATTTATGGATTTTAGTGTTGAAAAGATTTTTAAGTTGTTCGAAAAATACTCCGAGCTGGAAAAATTTTGAAACGAGCCATTCCAAATGCGACCGTAGACCTTATTTTACCAAGTTCTCTTGCAAGTTCGGAATCGTGAAAAATGGCCGCTGAAAGGCTCAAAAAAGGCCGCAGGTAAGCAGAAAAAAGGTAGCAAAAGGGGTCCATTTATCGAGCCTCCCATTTTTTCTAAGATTTTAAAGGCTCAGGGAATGGTGGAAAAGGGAGAGATAGCAAAAATGGTGCATAACAGCCGATAAAATGGCGCAAAAAGGCACCAAAATAGGAACATTTCTATGGAGCATTTTTCAACCCTTTACAACTTTGCGTATGTTAAGTAGATTCAAGTTAATTTTTAACTATCCGAGAAAATTTGTTGCTTAAGACCAATTGGCCGCTTTATATAAACCCTTTTTGTTTGAACTAATTAGGGAACAACTCGGACTCGGGTACGAATAATATGTATTTTGCCGTTCTAGCGCACCTTTTCGCCCATCCTCAAATTTCTCATTTTTAAGCCATTTTAAGGCTTATTTTTAAAATAAACAAGTCTTACCTCTTCCCCATCTCACGTAGAGATAAGAGTATTTATCAGAGAAACGTGATATTCCAACAATGATAAACGAAACTACTGAAAAGCTAAACATATCGAGTCATAATTCAATTTGATGTCTTGAAGATAATTTTCTACGTCATTTGTAGCAGTCCCGAACTTTATTCCATGTTCCCGTAATTCGCTTTTCTCAATACCAATGATATCGCTTGTTACGCTTTTGATTCGACTCCAATGGGGCAGGGCATCCTTGGCGATTTTCATCCTTTCTTCATGTCCTATTTCAGTGAGAATTTCGTTGGCTTTTCCTAGTCCACCAAAGTTGCTCTTATTCTTGAAATCATCGAGTATTCTCCGTCGTAGAAAGTTGTCAGTATCCGGAACGTAAAAATCAATGATAGACAGGGCTTTCTCCTTGGTTGAACCAATGTTTCCCTCATTCAAGTCGCGTATGCCAAGAATAAGTGAGAGCAGGTAAGCCTGAAATGGATTTTATTTAAATAAGTATTTAAAGTATTTTTTTAATTAAAAAAATTATTTAAAAATGTATCACCTCAACAACTACTTCATTTTGCAGTACAACATCCTGAAGTTTGTCCAGCTCTTTGAATTCTTTGACTTCCTTAGTTGCAATGTAGTGAATGTATGTCGATCCATCATAGAATGGGAAGAATACAAGAGGTCCAACTCCAATATGTTCAAGAAGTCGATATGCGAACATTTCGCGAAGATCCGGCAGGTGTCGCTTTGATGCATTTTGCAGGGAAGTTGAAGAACCGGCGTGATGATAAGTCTTCATATAGTAAAGCGTCTCTTCTCCATTGCAAGTGACAGTCACCACAATCCCTGCTCGACTACCGCCTTGCTCAGGCTTAAAGCTTATTGTTGAATTGGGAAACATCTTGGTGAAGAATTTTGTAGCGCTTTGTTCAAAAGCGTTTCGCGTTCGGTCGACAAACCTGGAATGCGAATATCATTATTTTGTCAATATTTTTAAAAGGAATTGAACAAATTAGCAAACCTCATCATTTGACCGATAGTGTCGATCCAAACTGTCACAAAGTTGACGTAGGCTTCGAAAAATCCGGAATCCTCGAGTTCTTGTGAATTCGCTATAGCTCTTTGCGCACACTTTGTTCGTTCAGGTTTTCCTTTTTTGATATTTTTGGCGCTGTCACAAAGCAACAAATACGCACGCCAGGATTCCAGAAGAGAATGTTTCTGAAATACACTTTTAAAAATTTACTGATAGGGAAAAACTTAAATTCCAAAAATTATACATCCTAATAATAAATAGTAAATTCTAAAATGTAAAAATTCAACTTACGACAACAATTTCTTCGCCACACTTTATGTCGAGAATGGGACGCTCAACAACGGGAAGATCTTCACCACGAAATTGGAGTTCTTGAAACTTGGCTGGGATATGTGTCACAGATTGAATTTCCTTCTTCAGGTCAACGTATAGAATCTGAAAATATACAAATAAAATATGTTAATAAGAATAAATTATCGAAGTAAAACCTTATTATCCACTTCGATACCCTTGAACAAACGATCGTCGTTTCCTCCCACCAATCGAATTATGATCGCCGTCATGTCTGAAATCAAAGAATTAATGGAAAAAGTAACGTCATGTGAAACCACGAAATCAATGCAAACTACGGAAGAAAAGTAAGTCTCTTTTCTATTCACAAAGGTTTATGGAAGAATGCGATGCTGGCTGTATCTCGCTTTCCTCTGCGTTTCTGCCTTCCACTCTAGCCCAACGCGTTTGCGTGTTGCGTCTAGTTGTGGCAAATGTGTGACTATACTCTGTCAGATTGAGGAAGAGAAAAGAAGGTCACACAAAGAGAAAGGGAACACTGCTGACCTTTATACGTCGCACCAAAGGATCTGAAAGACATTCACCTAGTGAAGGACAGAGCAGAAGGAGAAAGAGAGAACTCGACGATTTTGTCACACTCGAAACTTCTCGAAGGCGCTGGCAAACAGGTATGAAAGAATGAAGTGTATCATTTGAGAAAGGTTTACGCCGCATAATTTCTTCAGTTTTTGTGTTGTTATCTATTTCATTTTCAAGATGTTTTTCAAGCAAAGTTCAATATTTTCTTCTAAGATGGGAATGCTTTTCGTTGTCAAGAAATCTCTACTTCTCCATAGAAAGTGTAAAAGTGAACAGAAAGAACTGGTAAGTCTATTCTGTTTGATACACTAGATTATTAATTATTTGCAGGTTTTACTACAACATCAATTTAACGAAATTGATGAATCTCTTCGATCTGTGAAATTTACAATTTACAATTTATTCAGTCTTCAGAGTAAGATGTAGAAAAAATCTCTGCTGAATCATGGTATGATCGAAGAGTTAGTCAGTCGTTGGCGCGGATTACGGTCCACAATCGTTGTCCAATAAGTCCCGGCGCGACAGCTGGAGTTGGGAAATAATGTGATCCCGTGGGTAGTGCCAGCGAATAAACTGCTTCACCATGTTGGAACAGTACAGCGCCCAGCTTGTCCAGGGCTGACGGGCGTCGGAATATTATCCCATGAGAGAGCGGCAATGAGACCGACTAGTCGACGTGATGAAATGAGATAATAATCTGTGAAAGAGCCTAATTAATTTGTGTTTTTCCCCATTCTTCTTTCTATATCTTGCTTTTATCTTTTTATCTCACATCCTTGTATCATCATCAATAAATTCAGTATTAATGAGCTATGATAAGCACATTATTAATAAAAAGACAGACATACAACCACAAGGCTTACCTATAACTAGGTTGGACTCTTAAGTGAAAGAACCTTTACTTTTACAAGTTCTTCAAGATCATAATTTGTCAGAAGTTTAAGATTTTTTGAAAAGATCATTTATTTAGCATTATTTTTCTTCAAAATTGTTAGCGCAATATTTCGACCATTTCGACCACTGGATTTCGACCACATTTTTTTAAGGTAGCGCATTTAGACCTTTTTACCATTTTTTTGAAAAATTGTTTAAAAATGACACATTTTTTTGAAGAGGTAAGACTTGTTCATGTTAAAAATAAGCCTTAAAATGGCTTAAAAATGAGAAAATTGAGAATGGGCGAAAAGGTGCGCTAGAACGGCAAAATACATATTATTGGTACGGGTTTCAAATTGAAACTTTAGTGGTTTATAGACCCGAGTCAGAATACTTGAAAACAAGAGAGAATATCTGCTAAACCCGATAGAGAACTGAGAAAAAATTAGTAGAAAATGGGATAATTAGGCTTGAAAATTTTCAGAACATTGCTTTTTACCTTATTTTATATTTTAATACATTCTAAAAAACTTTTTTCCAGCCAAGAGAAGGAAAAAAGCAAAAATTTGATAATTTTCAAGCCTGAACTGTTCATTTTCAAAAAGCTTTTTCTCAGAAGCCTATGGAGTTTAGCAGATAATCTCTCTTGTTTCCAAGTACTCTTACCCGGGTCTACAGTACTGGCCATAAAGATATTTCAAAGTGGTTATTCGAGCATAACTTCTCTGAAAGTGGCTCAAATGATTTGAAACTTGATTCAAAAATAGGCACTGTAAAACGTTTCTTCAAACTTTATGGGAAAATAAGTTTTTGATCTTGTGAAACTAATGCTTCAGCAAAAAAATTAGCAGTCTTCAGGAAGTGGGAGACTGCAATTTGGCCATTATGTATTCTCGAATTCACGATTGAAAAGCGATTGATCAGACAAAAACTGCTTTGAATGCCCGTAAGTCCAGAAAAACTGTTTGAATCCGAGATTTCAAAATCAGACCTAATGAAGTAAGCGAGTTCTGGAGAGAGGATATAGTGACAAAGCTGAAGAAAACGGTGTGAAACTACTCTTGAGAGTGTTTTGAAGTTTTTCAACATGTAACAGGGTGTTCTCAAACAATAATGACCTCGTGTAGTCCATCTGAATGACGAGGCGTCAAAACGAAAAAGGCCTTCCAAAGAAAAAGTCACTACGCTCTTACTATCGGGTTGATAGGGGGCTGATTAAGTTTTTTGGAAAGTCGAAGACTTGTTTTACCGGGAAAAAAAGTTTCTGATTTCAAATCGAAGTTTCTTCGAAGATATGATTTTTCGAATCTCAAGAGAAAAATCTTCATTTTCACGATTTTCGGTTTTTTGCTCTCAAATCCGGTTTTACTTGAGCAAATGAGTTCTTCTTTCGGGAAAAAGTTACTGCGTAGTTATTTAAAACTTGTTCAAAGTTTCAAATCATTTGAGCCACTTTCAGAGAAGTTATGCTCGAATAACCACCTTGAAATACCTTTATGGCCAGTACTGTATAAGCCACCAAAGTTTCAACTTGAAACGCGCACCCGATTCCGAGTATTTCCCTAGTAAGGAAAGTCTAAATTTTCAGTTATATGCTGACGACGCCTGGCTGACCATGTCCGAAGGGAGAAGTTTGCCGGGAACCCGCCAAATTTTCGGTCTTCTATTGAAAGACCCGAAGTTCCTGAACCTTCCTCTCTGTACTCCTTGAATCTCGCTTTTTCGTGAGTTTCCAGTTTTTCATTGAAGGTCATTCCAAATATTTTTTTGCAAGCTCCCGAAAAATCTCCAGGGAGTCGGTAGCTATGTGAAATCATTGGGATGAGCTGGAATCATGATAATTAAAATCCCAGACAGATCGAAATGAAGTCATAAAGAGTTAATTAACGGATTTTCAGCTATTTTTGACGGATTTATAGAGAAGAGTAGAGCTTGATAATTGATAGACAAAGACAATTATTCAAGTTTTTAGAAAAGTCATCATATTGATAATTGTTTAATCAATTCTGGGAAAATTTTTAGTGGCCACTGTAGAGGCTCGCCAAGAACTACTTGGAAAGGACACTAAAGTGGCCACTAAACCCACCTCTATAGTGGCCACTATTTTCCGTTTTAGGAGTACTATAGAGGTTCTCTATTTAGTGGCCACTTCAGTAGTTTTTCATCCAGTATTCCTTCCAGTAACTCTGATAATTTTGAAACAAACAGATTGGACCAGTTATGTTGATCCATTGACCCCTAAAGGGGCCACTATAATTTTAGTTGTCTATTAGTATCACTTAGACCTCTATGGTGGTCACACTCAAACGTCAAAACCCTATAGTGGCCACTAAACATTTTCCCAGTTAACACTCGTAGCTATTTTTGTACTTTTTTTTTCCATCGAAATGAAAATTTATTGAAAGGTCACTTGATTAATATGGACAATTGTATTCTTTGCCCCATCTTTGAAGCCTAAATCCGCATCCGGAATAACTCAGAAAGATGTGCCGGACCCGAAACGGCTTACGCGCTGAAGCCTCAATTTTGATGAAAGTTTACAAAAAAAAACAAGACAGCTTGATGATGTATAATATTCTGAAATATATAAGTTTCTGGGAATGTACTTTGGAAAGTGTTTCGAAAAAGTCATTTCCAAAAAAAAGTTGAACTCTACGTTATTTTCATTTTTTCAATTTTTCAGGCGTGGAATTTTTGATTTTGTGAAATTATTCGAAAAAACGCTTTTTAAATAATTTTTAGATTAAAAACCCTTACATTATACAGTTGCAGTCTTTTGAAAATCATTCAGAAAAATGCAATATCAACACTTTGAGCCATTCCAAATGCGACAAACTCTCCAAAATGTACTGAAGTTTGATGAATATTATATTCTGTGTATCACGAGTTGAAAATTGACCGAACGATATTCCGCTGTTCCGCTGCGTGCGGTCGCGAAGCGTCTTCTTAAGAACTTCAGAGGGGTCCTTATAGGGGCGATCTTAGGGGCTCTAGGGACCACTTTAATAACCCCTATAGGGTCCAATAAAGCTTATGAAAATGGCCCCTATGGGGAACATGCTAGTCGATAATGAATGATATTGAGAGATCTCTAAAGGGTCCACTTGAGCTTTAGGGCTACGGGGTCAGACTCTAAACCCCTATACGGACCACTCTGGAGTCCCTAACCTTGCATTTGCGAATCTCGGTCGCGCTTTCAATTGGTTTTCATTGCTAGTGAACAGACTATTCTATTTGAATACTTGAAAGTCGGGTACTGAAATAAATGAGAAAAGCGCGACCGAGATTCGCAAATAGATATACGCATCGCGACCGCACGCAGTGGAACAGCGGAATGTCGTTCGGTGAAATCTCTTATTTTTGCAATCTTTCAACTTGCAAAAGTTTATTGAAAGGGCAGTTGATGGAAAGAAAAAAAACCTAGTTATGGACTGATTAATTAATTAAGTGATAAGCAGATCATTACATACATAGGTAGATTGTGTTAAAAGTGCAAAGTATAGGATGAAAAAACGTGACATTTCCTACAAATTAGAGTCATTCTGATAATTAATTGATAACAGGTAATTGAACCTATTTTTAAGAAAAGAGTTCATCTAGATTACAGCTATTGTAGACATGAAATTAGTAATAACTTGACATTTTCAGACGGCTCAAAATCACATGGCTGATAAGACTACGAGTAATTAATTAACAAAACTAACAATCTATAAATCCTTTCAAATAAAAACATTTTTTTTTTAAATTGCAAAGATTATTTTCGTATTGGAAGGCGGCCATTGGAATTGTTGGCCACCAGGAAAATGGAGCTCGTCTTTTCTTTTTCTGCAACAGAACAACGTCATTTTGCGGCTCCTTGTCCACCGTAGTCCATAAATGAGAAGAGTACTCACCACATTTGCACAGAAGCATACTGAAGACTTGCTTCCGCAGACTGCGGTTCAGAAAAAGGACGACGAAAGCGTTGGAAAAGGTGACCATGTCGCTGATGTACGGTAGTACAGTACCCGTGAAGTCGCGTAGGCCAGCGATACTTGACGTCGACTCGCTCATTGCTATGTACTGTAAGAGAGGTCATTGGAAAAAGTTTCGAATCGCGGCTGCAGCCATTCCCAATGCGGCCTTAAGTGATGTCATTTTGATTCTTTGTTGAAATCGGAATGAGACCGCACCGAGAATGGCTTGATTTTTGAAGGGGTTGCAGAGCTTTAAGAGAGGATCTCAGTCAGAAGTAAAAATCCTACGGTTTTATAAATCCCAACATCGAAACGGGTTACTGTGACTCTTACTGTGACCGTAAGAAATACGCATTTTGCCGCGACGCAACCGCAACGCGGAGCTATCCATTTCAAGCCGCCAATTTTCACAAAAAAGGCTTGAAACCGAGCATTGCTCATTGCTCATGTTACAAACTTTTTGCTCATTTTAGAGGCTTTGAATAACTTTTGAACGAACCGTGAAAACCGATATGCCTAATTGAAGCAGAAAGTTGTAGACTGATAAGATATAAAGACTGAATTCGGCTTTTTTCGCAGCCAGAGCACCGTTACAAGCAATCTGAACATCTTTTCATTGAAGAGCAGAGTTGATGCGCAGCGAATAACCTGATACGCAGCGGCGACGTTCAAGGTCAACGTCAGAAACACGACGATCACCATGAACATCAGCAGTTGCTTGAAAATCGTCGCGATTATCTGGAAAACGGTATTTAGACCTACTTTAGTCCTACTGTAACCCACCGTAAGATCGACTGCGTAGACTAGATTGGTTTTTGCTCTGTTTGGTTGGAACGCGATGTCGTCACAGAGTAATGGGTACACCGAAGCGAAAGGCGCGATAACGCAAAACGCTATCGAGATCCATAGAAACTTGTCCCAGAACTGGAAAATGTTCGATTTTTTGGTGGAGATGGTGTCATTTTTAGGAATTCCAGAGGGGTCCCTATAGTGGTTATGGAAATAAACAGCTCCTTAGGGGCCGAAAAAGTGGTCCTTATAGGGGTAAAATCTAGGCGGTCCCTAAAGGGGTATAGGGTCTGACCCCTAAGCTCAAGTGGTCCCTATAGTGGTCTAGTTCTTTTTTCCTAACTAAAAACCCTATAAGAACCACTTTCGCAAGCTATAGGGGTTGGCAAAGTTGTCCCCAAAAGTCGCCCCTATAGGGACCACTCTGGAGTTCCTCAGTTCGATATCGAAACCTTTAAGATTCCATAAAAACTTGATAGTTCATTAAATTCCACCAAGCAAACTTTACTCCTGATTGATTTTATTTTTTCAAAAACTGACTTTTTCATGATGAAATGGTAGGAAAATGACGGTGAACCGATTCATAGCCATCAAGAAGATGATGAAAAACTGGACGTACCCAAAATAATAAGATAACATGTAAATCTGAAAGGATAAATATTCAGAATTCCTTTATTTGTTCTGGAAACTCACGATTCTCACGATAAGTTGTGGAAGAGCCAGGTAAACAGCGGCTAACCACGACCCTACAGGTGTCACTTGGAGTATTTGCAAAGATATGGTTGCATTGATGAAAACTGCCAGGTTCTGGAAGTTCCTGACTTTTGAAGATGAAAATATTTTGTGTTTTCACGTTGTACTTATGGTCCTAATTATAAGAAAAAATACCCTTGAATTAAAGTTCTAGACTATTTTTGCACTGAATTTTTGTTAAAAGTCCGCAAGCCCTTGAAATTTAATTATTTTCGAAAAATTCACCACGAAGGTTGAGAACATGAAGAGTTTGAAGAAGGAGCCGACGTAGTTGGCCTTGTTGCGTCTTAAGGTTATTACGACCAGGATATAAATAGTGGCTGCAGGAACTCGATAACATAATCGGGCTATAAAACCTTCCATAATTGCTGAAAATCAGAATTTTTCGCCAGGGAGGAAGTTACGGTAGCTGATTGCGGCGTAGTGTGCAATTTGGCGAGGACGTGCATGTAAACGGGCGGTTTTAGCAACAAAAAAAAAATTTTTTTCGGGTTCTTCGTTTTTTTTTTGATTTTGTCGATGATAATGACCTTTTTTCATCTTTTTATATGTTTCAGATGTTTCAAACTTCTAATCGTAAAATTCTTCAGAGCGCTGTTCGTTTTGAAGTGTATTAATAGAAATAAACACGTTTTTGTGTCAATGCTCCTGTTCTGCCTAAAAAAAATCTGTAACGGATTTTGAGTTTTTATTTTTCTAGAACAAGTCAAACTTATGAAGTAAAATGGATCATGGGCAAATTCAGTCACTACTTCTGACATTTAGAAAAAATTGCAGAAGGTTTTTCGTAACTATGTTCGTTTGTAACTATGTTTAAATTTTCCTGAAAAGCCGAATTTCTAAATAGTTTCTTAACAGTTTTTGAAACCAGCTTCAAAACTAAAGACAGAATAGAAGAGTGAAAAGCGTATTCGAAGCGGGAAGGAAGCTAGTTGAGGCTCCACCCCATGACTTTCGTCGAATACGAATCATTAACTAATTATCTCACCCCTCTCTCTTGTGAATCACAAAGGTAATTTAGTTCTGAGGCGGTTGATATGATGATAAGGTTGATTAAAACGAGGTAATTAGTATCTTTTTCAAGTTTTTTACAACATTCAAGTGAATTTCTTCGAAGAAAAAAAAAATGCGGTCACAAAATTCCAAAAATTTACCTGAAACGGTGAAGCACGAAAACGGTTATAAAAAAATTCCGGTAATCTCCAGGTGCTTATTTTATGAAAAAAAGAAGAAAATCATAGGGTAGTAGTCGTTCATCACTTCCGAAGAACAAACTATAAAGCTTACTTTCCCGAAAAAAACTTAGTCACCAGTCTAGCCCCTTTTTTGAAGGAAAGATCAAGATATCAGAAAATGCAAATCGGTTTTTTGGTTGGTCTTTTTGGGCAGATCCGTCCGCATTTTCCCTGGCTCGACCTCGAATTTTGGAATGTTTTTAATTTTTTTCGCAATTATCAGATTTCAGTTGAAAATGAGATTGTTTGAGAAAAATTGTTACCATTTTTAATCCGGTTAAAACAGCAGTTTTTGAAAAAATTTGAAAAAAATGGCAAGTCTGATCTGACTGAATATTTTGGCCTCACCAGGGAATGGTCTCCATTCGCAGTGGGACTTCTGAATGAGACTAGGTTCACTAGATGTAGTTTTTCACGCTGATTCCAAATCTGGTCTCAAAAACTGCCCTCGAGGCCTGTGAAAAAAGTTAGGGGCTCTCAAAGTCGAAAAGCTCGATGTCTCCGAATGAGCTCATTTTTAGAGGGTCCTTGTTCCCCGGTCACGAAAAACCATTTGATTTTTTTTGAAAATTTTCTGTAGCCCAGATATGATTTTTCAAAGCTCGGCGCGGGATAAGAGCATGCGAGCGCGATGTCCTATCGCGATCCGACGGCTGTCGAAGCAACGGCGGCGAGGAGCAGTGGAAAGGCGGCGGACTGCGGATCACGAGGTCATAGGTTCGGTGCCCACGCTGTGCAAACTTTTTTTTTTGCAATTTTCCTTTTTTGGATACTTTCGTCTAACTGCTCCTTTTTTGAGTTTTGAGGCGTATAAACACGAAAACACTGCGTTTTGAACTTATTCAAACAGCTAAAATTCTTTTTGTCGCAAATTTTCGGTGATTTTCCATGATTTTCCATGAGCATAGGTTGGAGTGTCGAAAATTTCAGAAAAAATTTTTTGCTTTTTTTCTTTTTCCAAAAGCTGTCTAGACCGAATTCATCACAGAAACTTTATTTTTTTCTTTTTTTCAATTTCTTTTTGGAACTTTCTACTCGCCGAAGTCTGACTATAACCTTTTAAAAATTTTCATTGAACGGAAGTTATTAGTAAGGTTTTTCTTTTAATTTCATTCACGAGTCAAAGGGAGCCTCCTTGAAAGTTTCAGCAAAAAAACCTGAAATAAATTTGGATATTTTTTTGGATAAAAATCATTGAAAAGTTCCACATTGTCTATCAGCGTAGCTGTGATGAATTCGGTCTAGACAGCTTTTGGAAAAAGAAAAAAAGAAAAAAAAACCAAAAAATTTTTTCGAAATTTTTGACACTCCAACACATGGAAAATCACCGAAAATTTCATGAAAAAAATTTGCGACAAAAAGAATTTTAGCTGTTTGAACAAGTTCAAAACGCAGTGTTTTCGTGTTTATACGCCTCAAAACTCAAAAAAGGAGCAGTTAGACGAAAGTATCCAAAAAAGGAAAAATTGCAAAAAAAAGTTTGCACAGCGTGGGCACCGAACCTATGACCTCGTGATCCGCAGTCCGCCGCCTTTCCACTGCTCCTCGCCGCCGTTGCTTCGACAGCCGTCGGATCGCGATAGGACATCGCGCTCGCATGCTCTTATCCCGCGCCGAGCTTTGAAAAATCATATCTGGGCTACAGAAAATTTTCAAAAAAAATCAAATGGTTTTTCGTGACCGGGGAACAAGGATCATATACCCTCTAAAAATGAGCTCATTCGGAGACATCGAGTTTTTCGACCAGATTTGGAATCAGCGTGAAAAACTACATCTAGTGAACCTAGTCTCATTCAGAAGTCCCACTGCGAATGGAGACCATTCCCTGGTCAGTGACGTGCAGTTTGAAGTTTTTCATATCTTCTTTTGTAGTATAATTTTCATCTCAAAAAAAAGCTTCTCAAAAAAGAAGTGTTTAAAACATTATTCATTGAAAAAGGAATTGAAACTTTCGGAATTCTACAGCTCGACAAGTTGGTCGTCTTCGAAATTTGCTCTAGAAAACTGCAAAAAACACAGCAAACATAAAGGTCTTGAAGCAAAGTGGGTGATGTACCAATGGTTTATTTTGAAGATTCATGTGACTAAAATGAAACGTTTGGCAATTTGACAATGAAAAATTGAAATAAAAATACGAAAACTAGTAAATTAATCAGAAATCTCATTTTGCAACATCAACCGTTGGGCGGACCTATTCAGTGATTTTGCAACAGCGTTCCAGCTCGGATGTTTCTCGATCTGAAAAAAGAACCTTGATTTATTTTTCGAGGAGTAGAAGTTTGGGCTTGAAATTTATTTTTTTAGGCTCGAGAATGCGTCGAGGAATAAAAAATCTTGACTTGCTTCTAGTCGGAAAAAAAAAAACGATTCTATTTTCTTCAAAGCGTTTAAGTTTTCCAAAACTACAAAACTATGTTTATTTAATTCGAAGGAAATTCTGACGAATCCACACCCGAATTTGAGTAAAGCGGTTCTCTTCTCTGATTCTTCAATCTTGAAAACTGTTCTTCAAATCTCGCTATGTTTTGAAATCCGAAAATCGATACGCTTGAAAATTTCTCGCAATTATCATTTACAACAAAAGGGTCACCTCTTCGTCTCCGAACTCCTTCAATCCATCCTTGATCTCATTCATAACACGAAAAACAGACGGTACACACATCTGAAATTCAATATCGAATTTGAAAACGAAGAAAAAAAAACCTGCATTTTCCTATGATAATTGAATCGCTCCCTTCCATGCACCGTTCCATACGTATCGATGCAACTTGTAACTACCAAACTCACGATTTCAGACTCCTTGAGGCTGAGCTCAGCTTTTTCCTACAAAAAAGCATCGGATTTTCTTATTTAGAAAAGAAAACCTCGGAAAGTTTGTTCGCTTCTTCCACGGGACGGTTTTGATACAGGCGGATCGCAAGATTGAAAGACGCCTTGTAGAAAAGAGCCGAAATCTTTTGGATGGAAAAGCGAAGCTTCGACAGATCGTCAGCGTTGGCACTTCCAGGCATACATTCCGCAGTAAATTCGAACTCCAACTCATTTTCTTCGTCCAGTTTCTGACTCGGAAGTTCTTTCTCCGTGTTATCAGTATTCGGCTCGCTCATTCTGAAAATTCTCGAAAAAAATTAGACCTGATATTCGAATAAAAACGTCATCATTCTTATTTTTTCAGTAAAAATACTGGGTAAAGCGGATATAAATTGGTATAAAACCAATAAAGTCGCAATCAAAAAGACAAAGAATAATTTTTTTTTCGCATTTCTCACGCAAAAAAATTCAACAAAGAAAGGATAATGGTGCAATAAAAATGAAAAAAATTCCCTGAGGCGATTCAATGGAAATTAGACAGAAAAAATCCATTAATTATAGTAAAAATCTCCAAAATTTACTAGATTGATAAAGAGAAAAAGCAATTTGAAAAAAAAAAAGATTTATGACATTATAAGAATTTTTCTCTGAGTTTTTGCATGGAAAGTACATTTTCGGCGATTTTCCTGACATATTCACGGCGTTCCCAAACGGGGTGGCAAGACGTCAAAAAATTTTGGCGCGAAATTTGAAATCTACAGTACTTCAGCCGAAGGCGATCGAACAAACAAGTTATTAACGTTGTATATTCAGTGTAATTGTGACGTCACGTGACGTAATTTTATCCGTAGCGCGCACTAAATTTTTTCTGTAAATTCAGAAACTTTGACGCCTCGCTCACCTTCCCTCACCACCATTAGGAACGCCGTGATATTGGCACGAAAATACAAAAGAGAACAACATGAAACTGTTTATCGGTTCTTTGAAACCTAAAAAAGTGAAAAAATTGTTTTCTTTCAAAACTATTTGCACCGCGCTGAAGGACTATGGAAAAAGAAACTTCGAAAAATTAAAAATAAAAGAAAGTGATTTGAAAAACTTTTTAAAATTTTTGTTCAGCACGTCCGGTTTGGCCTACTGTAAGTTTAAGTTGTGCATACTCGAATCACGGTTTTTTTTGACGACATCTTTGTTAATAATGAGTTTTTTGTACGAAAAATTGAAAAAATTTGAACAAAAGCACAATTAAATTTTAACAATTAAGTTTTTGCAAACGACATCAAATCTTAAAAAATGGCCTAACTTGAAAAATCCGTCTTCAAAAAGTCGTTTTTTCTGTAACTTTAATCTGTTAAGGTCGAAAATAGCGGTGTTAAATTTCTTAAATAGAAAATGTGGTCAAAAATGATCTAGTATAACCAGGGAAGACGGCGCAGTGCACAGTTCCCCGAAGGTTTGAACTGCTGTTAAAATTTGACAAAACGCCGTGAATATATAATTGGAGCACTATAAATGACCGGAAAACAGTACAAAATGATCGAAAAAGAAACAATTTCCCTGCCGGTCAACTCCTTTGTTCAAATAAAGCCAGTCAGTCATTTTTTTCGGTTCTATAAAAAAACGGAAAATTGATAGAATTGACCCGAAAATCGTACGAATTGTTAGCTTAGCTGTTTTTTGTGTCGCCTATTTAAGGGAGGAAGGTGACCTCAACTCAATATTCATTAAAAATGAACCATATTTCATTCTTCGCTTTAGCTTTGACGATTATCTTTTCAATCTGTTTTGCTGACCTACTTCAATCTGGAGATTTGCTCAGAGGTTTGGGTTTTTGGGTATTCAAGAAAGTTCTGAATCGTCAATCTAACTCTAGAACTTTATCTAAGAGTTCTTCATGAGAAATCAAGAATTTTCCAGCCCTGGGCCTGTCGATGCCAGCGGCGCTGCCGACGTCGCTGGACCTGACGCCGTGCAACAGTCAGACGCGGTGCAACGGCAAGGGATTCTGCCTCGGGACGGCCAAACAGTCGACCTGCCTCTGCTTCTTGGGCCGGCAGGGCGACAGTTGCGAGAAGGAGTCTGAAGGTGGGAAACATGTTAAGAAACTCTCCCTGAAAGCCTTGAGGTGAAATCGATTCCTTTTTTTTAGTCAAGCACTTTTCCATTAGTATTAGGCTGCCTGAAGGGGCTACATGTTGAAGAATAAGCTTTAAATGTGTTACTTCAAAATTTTTGAAAACCTTGATTCTTTTTCATTAATTTCATGAATCTCAATAATCCGGTAGGAATTTTGAATAAGGATAAGTTCACTAGATCCATTTTTCACGCTGATTCCGATTCCGGGATCATAAATTGCTGACAAAGATCTTCGAAAAGAGTTATAGCCGATAAAAGTCAAGAAAAATTGTTTAGAAAAGCAGAGTAGCTCTCTTGAGAACTTAGAAAAAATCAGCCCTTGGCTCAAAGTTTCCAGAAAAAAAAGTAAAATATTTCTCAATCTCCATGATTTTTTCACATACTTCACGACAATTTCGAAGACCAGAATTGAAATCAGCGTTAAAAATTTATCTAATACCCTTAATCTTCTCAAAAAGTCCCATTATTAATACGATTAGTATAGCTGATTCTCATTGAAAAAAGGGTCCTGACACGATTTTAAAAGAAGAGATAGAGCCTATTTCTACAGAACCCAGACAGGCCACGCCCCCTCAGCGTCCCAAGCTAACCGGGAATCGGCTATAGTACGACTTCTCGAGTCTTTTTTCACTAATTTTCAAAACCCTACGGAAAAATAATATGATCTCAAATCAACATTCAGGCTTCTGGTCGGACCCGTTCGGCTTTTTCGACAGCGAACAGAGCAATCCGTTGGCCCTGCCGAACTTGCTCGATTCCGAACTAATGTGCACCGCTGAGGATTGTACCAGCGGCGGAGTGTGTATTGGAACGAAAACTGCGCCGATTTGCCTCTGCTACCCTGGAAAAATGGGACTTCGTTGTGAATCCGATGTCACTAGCTTGTGTGAGTTTAAAAAGGGAAAAAAATCTGAAGAAAGGCATTATTCAAGAGAAATCAACGTATTGTATGTCTCTGAAAGAGGTAGAAGATTTGAAAGAGTGCCAAAAATTTAATATGAGCTTCAAAAGGCCGAAGAAAATATTGGTATGACCAAAAAACTTTAAAATATATATGATTGGGAAAAATAATTGAATTTTTTTCCGAGTTAAAAAAAGTAGCAAATTTACGACGAAAAAGCCGTTTGAGATGTCGAATTTTAGAAAAAAATTCAAAAAAAGCTTCCAAATTAATGAAAATCATTTTTTTTCAAAGTGATTCACTTTATCGCTCCTAAAAAAACTATGCATTATTTTCAAGGGGAAGATTTTTACAAATTTTTTGAAAATCAAACGTTTTCCATAACTTATATAGTTCTGAGACACTCATCAAACGATCAAGACTTTTTTTGTTAAATTTTTTTAAAAAAATAAGATTCTTAGGGTCTTTGAAAGACGGCCGGTCTTAAAACTGTAGTTTAGAAAGGCTTTTCGATTATAAAATGGAAACTAGTGTTCTTTTTGATGTGACCTAGCTTGTTACCTCGAAAGAGAGGTTCTAAAAATATTGCAAAAAGGGAAAAAAGTAAAAAAACTTTTCTGATTCCGAAACAGACGGAGCTATATTGACTTGTACTTGTACGAAAGTGACTAATTAATTTATTTTTCCTCTGACTTTTGATTTTTTTTTTCCAGTGAACATCGATCCGGGCGCTCCGCTGACAATGTGCAGCCCGAGCGACTGTAACAACAAAGGCGTCTGCATGGGGACGAAGAACAGCTTCGTCTGCGCCTGTCAGCTCGGCTACACCGGGCCCAACTGCGAGAATAGTCAGTTCTTATTATAGTCAGTTTAGATTTTGAATGTCAAGTGCAATGACGTCAATTAAAAACACTCTGTGGATGGCTCGCTCTCTGATTGGTTTATCGCGCCAAGTTTGCTCCATGGCTAAATATCTACTTCAAGAACCTCAGACCTTGGTAACGCGAATCGGACGTGACCAAGGCATTTCTAGTGACCACTTTAGTAGCTTCAGAACTCTCAAGTGATCCCTAGAAAAGGTCAGGAACGTCCGGAGCGCGTCTGGTTTTCGTTATCGAGGTCCGCATACAAAAAATCACCCATGAATATCGTGGTCAGGAAAATATTCTTACTTGAAAATTTATGAGTCTTTCTATCTTTGCTACACCCCGTTGATAATAATATAGCCTTTTCTCTTTTATTTCTCGATAATTTCCGTTCATTTTAGCCCCCTTCCAACTCTGCGACAGTCGGGACTGCAGCTCCAACGGACTTTGCATCGGAACGCGGGATTCTTTCAAGTGCGCCTGCTACTTGGGCTATTCCGGAGATCGCTGCGAGACCAGTTAGTCTCCATCTTTATCTCTAGGGAAAAAAACTAATTTCGAAGCAGAAAGATAACGAAAAAGTTAATTTTAGCTCCTTCCGTGTTTGGAGGGTGGCGGAGCACCGCAATTTCTTCACTTTCAAACTCAAAATCATCGGAAGGCGATGATGGTTGGTCCGTAGAACCTTAGGTGAACCTCCTAAGTGGAGTTAGTGTTTTCTGAGGTCCTTAAGGTATCACTGTAGAAGTTAGAGGAAGTGAAGACGCTATTTTGATCTATTCAATTCTGTTGAAAACCTTTTAGTTCAGTCACTGTCTCTATGATAGAAGTTTTGGTCTTATTGGGAAGCCTACAGTAACCTGAAATCCGAGAAGACACGTTTTAGATCTAACTGTTCTAACATCAAGCCATTCCAAATGCGGCTCTTCGAATAAATATCTTCTTATCTTTTTCAAGACCTACTATCCCCACTGCATCGTAACGCCTTTCACGCCCTACAGTAACCTAAAACCTACAGTAACCTGAAATTCGAGTAGGCACGCCTTAGATCTAACTGTTCTAACATCAAGTCATTCCAAGTGCGGCTCTTCGAATAAATATCTTCTTATCTTTTTCAAGACCTACTATCCCCACTGCATCGTAACGCCTTTCACGCCCTACAGTAATCTAAAACTTACAGTAACCGGTACCATGTGCGAGAGCTCCGACTGTAACAGTAACGGCATCTGCGTGGGCACGAAGTCGGCGAAAAGCTGCATCTGCGCCCCCGGCTTCTATGGTCAACGTTGCGAGCAGCGATTTGGTACGTCTTGGTAGACTGGCCAAGTCTCCTGCTAATCAATCGGAGGATCAAAGTTCGATCCTTTCAGGTATCCTACCTGGTACCGAAGGGCTGTTCTGCGAGACGAAGGACTGTTCTGGAAACGGTCTTTGTTTCGGAAACAAGCTCTTGCCTACCTGCCTATGCGCTCCCGGCTTCCTCGGTCTTCGGTGTGAAATAGGTACAGTAGCCTGGGTACTGTATTCTTCAAAAATACTTTCAGAACCGCTGTGCACTCGGGAGTTCCAATGTTCGGGCCACGGGTTTTGCGTCGGTTCGATCAAATCGTTCTCCTGCGTTTGCGACATCGGATGGACCGGTGTCACTTGTGCGCAGAACACTCTTCTCGGTTGAATAATCCAGTTTTTGAATGATTATGTGTATATATTGAACTATGAAACGATTTTAATGAAGACTTCTATTTATCGATTTACTTTGAAGATGAGAAAAGTGTCATTTCAACGAGTTTTTCTTTTTCTCTAGGCTTCTTTGAAAAAGCTTCAACATTTTGAATTCGAAACGGTTAAGTCAAAACTGCGCCCGACTTGAAACTGCTTACGTTAGCGGGTATCACACGGCACGCTATTTTCGTAGATCATTCTCTAACCTCGCATAAAAAGACCTCTTATATGTATGCTTTTTACTCCTTTGGAGTTTTTCTAGAGTCGCTTTAGTGGTCCCTATAGGGGTTGTATGGCGAATACGGGCTTTGGTAACGCGCATTGGACGAGGTGGTATCTTTTCTAGGGACCATTTTGGTAGACTCAGAACTCTTAAGTGACCCCTAGGATTGCTGAGAAACGTGCGGGGCACGTCCGAAAAGGTTTTCACGCGGAAAATCGTCCATATAGCGCGATTGAGCTCGAAGAATTCGCTTCATTTTTGGTCTCATTTGGAGCTTTTCGCTTCAGGACCAGAATACCACAACAGATCGCTACAGCTTCACACGATATCGATACCAACAACCCAACATTATCTCAGGCCTCAATCGTGTGAATTTTCTCACTAATCCATCACTAATCCAATCATTTTCTTTTGTATAATTTTTTAGTAAAACAATCAATAATCAACACAATTAATGAATAAACACATGATGGAATGGATGTTACACGTTTGATAGAGCTGCTACAAGTATCCAAAAAACTCGGGGATTGCAATAAAAGATAATAATCTTAAATTTGAAAAAGAAATAAGAAAATCATGAAAAATGATAAAGCAAGCTTGAAAGAAGAGATCAAAATGGAGAACTAGAAAAAAATTTGAAGAAAGTTTTTGGAAATTTGAAAAAATAGCTCGAACAGCGCTGCTATTCAATTTTCGATTTCAAAAGCTCAATTGGTTCTAATTTTTCTTTTTTTTAAAGACTAAGATAAGATATTTCCAATAGATTGGTATCTGAAGGGGTTCAAAAAAAGCTGCAAAAAGTGATAAAAATGGTCAAAGGCTCCGTATAAATGAAAATCAAAAATAGTGTCATTTTTCCTTTTTGAAAAATGAGCACAATTTGGAAAATCGTCCGTAGAAATAATGCTTGAAAATTGATGAAGTCGTTTTTTTTCTAACGGAAAAAGTTCCCAAAAAGGCCCAAAACCGTGAAAAACTGAGACAAAAGGTAAGAAAACAAGGAAAAAAAAACTGCTAAAATTTTCGTAGAGCTAATTCTCAGCATAAGTCTTAAATAAAAGCTCATATTCAACCCGAAAAATGAGACAAACTTTAGACAAACATGAACAATTTTATGAAAAAAGCTAAGAATCATTCGAAGATCCTGGATGCATAGGGAAGAGACTTGACGAAAGCGCGGAAAGTTGAATTGACTGACTTGATGACGTCACCATCGGCTTGTGACGTCGCTTCGAGAGGGTCGTCGATGACGTCACCGTAGACACGGACCAGGTAGGCGCACGTCTTCCGCGCCTGGCCGTGGTTGCTTCTGAAGCGGAACTGGACCAGCCGGGCGACGGGGACGTCTTCTTGCTGAGAAGAAGGGAGCATAGATTTATTCTAGTCTGTGTGCCACGAAATTTCACGGAACGACATTCCGCTGTTCCGCTGCGTGCGTTCGCGGAGCGTCTTTCAAATCTTGGTCACGCTATCAATTTATTGTTATTGCTGTGGGAGCAAATGAAAGTAGGGCGACCGAGGTTCGCAAAGGCGCGCAGCGGCATAGCGGAATGTCGTTTGGTGAAATTCCAAGTCGCGTTACACAGGCTATAGTAACAGGTTGAAAGAATTATATTCTCGCAGCTCATCAAAAATCGATTACTATTATAGCTCGTCCGGCAAAACTACAAAACTTTTCGGGTGTCTGCGTCTCACTGTTCCCTAACCGGCGAGGTCAGAGAAAAAGGAAAACAGCGCGTTAACATGAGAGAATCGCCGAGAGACCAGGAGGGGGCAGAGAAAATCGACAGATTAAAGTTATAGACTACAGTCCATTCGACGCGACTAGAATCTTTTCGAGTGTCTGCGTCTCTCTGTTCCCTCACCGGCGAGGTTGGAGAAAAAGGAAAATAGCGCGTCAAAATGAGAGGAAGCAGAAAAAAAAAACATTAAAGTTAGAGACTACAGTCCATTCGACGCGACTAGAAATCTTTTGAGTGTCTGCGTCTCTCTGTTCCCTCACCGGCGAGGCCAGAGAAGCATGGAAATAGCACGTCAAAATGAGAGGGAGCAGAGAAAAAAGAAAATAAAGTTAGAGACAACAGTCCGTTTGCCGCGACTGGGCACTTTTCGAGCGTCTGCGTCTCTCTGTTCCCTCACCGGCGAGGTCAGAGAAAAAGGAAAAGAGCACGGCAAAATGAGAGGATCGCCGAGAGACAAGGAGGGGCAGAGAAAACAGCTATTTCTGTTCCAAACGTACATTAACGACGCAAAACTGCTCGGGGACTTGATTTCCGTCGTGTTCAGTCCCATAGGTACAGTCGGTGGCCAGCGGCACGGACTCGCTACAGCAAGTCGTCAAGCACAGCTGAAATCAGGCTACCGTATGCTTTAAATCTCGATGGGACCAAACCACGACGTCGTAGTCTTTGGGGGCATGGGTGGGCGGGATTCCAGTCCAGCCAAAGTGTTGGTAGGAGACGGATTTGACCCGAGCCGCTCGGGCCAATCGAATCGTGAGTTTCGGTTCGCGTTCCAATGAGCACCAGGCCTCGCCAGGCTGCACGATATCGCGTTCCTGGAAGAAAAGGGTTAGTGGGCGTGGCTTTATGCAAGGGTGGCGCGGGCTTATTGCGATGGGGGCGCGGTAATGAGAGTCGACTTTTCTGGCGTTATTGAGTGTAGAAAGAGCTTTGAATAATGTTTTTCAAAGTTTTCTTTCTGATTTTCTAGAAAAGGAATCTTTTTCAAAATGAAAATTCCTCACCAAAATGGCGTAGCCGCCACGAGTCGACGGGTAGACGTAGTTGACAAATTGCATGATATAACTGTCCATGACGCTGGCCGTTCGGCTCGACGCTTCGTCGGAGATTTTCGCTCCTAAAAAGCTCATTCTTACGAATTTTACAAAACTGAATGATCCTGATATAACAAGCATACATGGTCAGACAGGGTTGCACAGTAGCTTTATTTTTTTTTTTTCCAAACGGAACGCGGAAGTAAAATTTTTTTTAGAGGAACGTAGAAAACGGTAGCCGAACTGCGCAAGACGGAATCCCATGCAACCCCGATGCTAACAACTCTCTTGAGGTACCTACTTTTGCATCAAAAATTCGGCCGGGGACTATCGTCTGTTCAGATTTTGAATGTCAAGCCTTTGCTCAAGCTCCGCCCCTAATGGCGCGATAATGCAATGAGGGTGCGAGCCATCCGCAGAGCGTTTCCGAATGACGTCATTCTAATTGACATTCAAAATATTATAAGTCTATATCATTCATTATCTCGCACTTGCATGAGTCATAAGAAAAATTTCTTTTCTAAGAATTCGATTTTTAAAAAATTCTCAAAAAAAGGGGGGTGAAACTTCGATAATTTTTTTGGATCCTACCAATCAAGCTGCTGGCGACGTTGACGCCTTCAGCTTTTTGGACGACGTCGGAAGACGATATTCTGAACTCCGCTGACGTCTTTTTTCGCCACAGAGGCCAAAAAGCTGTCCTGATCTGGGTCTACCGTATTTTCTTCCTTCCTTGGCTCTACAGGCTTCGGCTCTTCAGCCTTCGCCACGACTTTGTCAACCTAAAATCGTTGTTGGTTTTAGAACTTAGATTTACAGTAATCTTAGCTCCCAGCTACAGTAAGACAATATGACTGCGAAATTCTTAAAATCAATGATTACCGCTAAGTTGAAAATGCACGAAAAAAAAAATCGAAAAAGTAAAAAGTTAATTTTAGCTCAAAACTCAGTTGTTTCCCGTAACATGTTCAACTGAATAACTTAGAAATGCTCAAAAATAAAAAAAGCTCATTAGCGCCATGAATTTGCTACGAAGTGGTACATTTTTCTTATTTTGGAGTTATTTATAGTTTTTTTTGCAAAAAATTTTTTTATCTAATAAACATGGCGTAATAAAGCATGAAAATCTCAAAAATTCATTTCTCAAGATTACGGTATCCAAAATTTCGCTGTACAAACCTCTTGAGCCAACGCCCTCACAGAAATAAACGCCTCTTCTTTGATTTGACCGATTTTGCTCTCAAACTCCTCAAAACGTTCTCGGAGGACCGAGAGCTGCAAAATGACGTCACATTCAATCAAAAATGACGTCATAATAAACCTGGGCGCTGACGTCATCTTTCGACACTTGGTAGTTCTCCAATTTGTTTTCGAGCCTTTCCAAGTGTCTCAGCAATTGGTTATGATTTTCTGTCAAACGATTCAACTGAAACCGAAATTATTATGAAGGGAATTCTCAATGAACTCACTTCAGTGTGGAAATGGGCGATATTTTCATTTGTATCGGAATTCGATGAAATTTGAAAGCAATCACCAACGTCTGAAAGTTGGAAGCATTAAAAAAAAGCATTACCTAAAGCAAAAACGAATAAAATCGTCTATGTAGTAAAAAAAATCTCTCGACTCTCTGTGTATGATTTCAAAAATATTAAAAAAACGAAATCAAGATAATTTTTTTGAAGCTCAGTTTTTTTCTTTTTTTCTTCAATTTTATCAAAACTCAGTTTTTTTCAGGCTGTGAATTTCTGAAATATATTCGTAAATGGTGGAAAAAAATCGATTCGGTCGATTTCTCATAATTTTTTTATTTCTGATTTTTTTGAAGTTCAGAATTGATCACGTCTTCGAAAAAGTTCTTGATTTCGGTTAATTTGAAAGTTTCAAAAAATGAAAATGATAAAAAAAAAAGAGATTTCTTGTCTTTTAAAGTGAATTTCGGACCGATTTCATTTTATTGGACCTGAAATCCAGTTATTTTATGTATAAAATAGAGTTGAATAATATTTTTGAGCATTTTTTGAAGGGAATAAACTCAAAAAAAGTGAATTTTGACTAAAAATTCTTGAGAAATTAATGACCAGTTTTTAGAAAAATTGGAATCGAAACAAAAAAACACAGTGAATAAAAATCTGTACTCCAAAAAGCGTTGACAAAACCTTGAAAAATGTTCAAAAAAATCATTCAGAATTTTTGAAAAAAAGAAAAACCATCAAAAAAACGAACGACTTTTTTTCAAAGTTCCATTGAATTACTTATAATATTTTTGAGTTATGAGGGATCTTCGAGAACTGAAAAAAATTCAATCAGAAAAAATGAATTGGAATGGAAACTTAGGGCGTAAAACGGCATGAAATGTTCAAAAAAAGGCTTGAAAATCTAAAAATGGTTTCAAAACATTTCAAAATAAAAACTCGCAAAAAACGAGTTTCTGCTCAATACTCACACTTGGCCAGGATAAAAATAAGAATCATCGACTCCAAAAATCTCCGACAAGCGGTCCAAGTCGGCGAGAATCGTCGTCGAAGCCAACGTGTTCTATAATTCCAGATGTCCGACCTAGAAAGGGGCTTTTTCAATGGGTTCATTTTATTCGGAAACCATTTCTGAAAGACCATTTCGGAGCGTTCGATGACAGAAAAATGATTACGGTAGAATTCTTCGTTTCCACTGACCGATTCGTCTTCTTCTTGCTGAACAAGAAAATCGGTGAAGATAATTTATGCCGTGTTCAATTCGATTCCGCGAAACGCGAAATGATCTCTGATTCTCCAAAATTTAATGATCTTTTCCTTTCTCTAACGAGTAGTTTGCATTTCGCGGAATCAAATTGAACACGGCATTATTTTTTTTTAAATGAAAGTCGATTGCACATGTATTCTTACATTGAAGATGCAATAAACAGTTTTTTTAAATTATTTTTTTCGGTTTGAAACGGTGCGAAGCGGTCGCGTTGCGTTTCTTGGCGCCAGTTCAAAAATTTATTGACTTATTGGAAAAATTTTCTTTTTATTCAAAGAAAAAAAGCACCATATTCTCTTGAAAATGATAATATAATTTATTTTATAATCGCAAAAACCAAAATTGAAAAATTAATAAGATTTTTGCGAAAAAAATTGATATAAATTGGATGAAATTCAATCAATTTTTTTCAACAGGATTCGTTAGAAAAAAATTCGAAAAATTTGAATTCGCGCCAAATTCCGCATCGCGACCGATTTTTTTAAAAAAATTTTTTTAAAAATTCCAAAACTCCTCTTTTTCTAGCCTTAAAAAAATAAAATTTTTTTCAAAAAAATTCCCTTCATAACACCTTGTTGGAGTTGAAAAATCATCAAAAAGACTATTTTATTCAATTTTCCTGAACCCTCACAGTTCTCTGGGAAGTGGTCGGCGGCTGGAAGGACCTCGTGGTCAAGGAGGACCGTCGATGAACCATCCTCGTCAAACTCGACGGCCGATAAACCGGCGAGGAGGTGAGGCTCATGTCGCCCCGTTGATCAACCATTACACTCCGAGGAAATCGCCTCTTAAGTTCCATTTACTTCATTTAGAGCTCGAGAAATGAATAATTTTGATTCGAAACAACAAAAAATTCTTCCGTAAAGTCAAAAAAAGATTGGGAAACGTTTTTTCGCTCAATTTTTTCACGTAAAAAGTTTCCAAACATGTTTTTTTTCCGGAAAATCTACTGAAAAACTCAACCTCACGTCTTTTTATGTGCATTTCTGTGTACAAAACCCCAATTTTTAGGTTAATTGATTTTCCGGAACTTTTCTAAGCCTTTTTAGAAATAATTAAAAAAATTCCTTCCTAAAGTTACCAAGTTCCTTAGAGAATCATTAAAACTACTTCTTGATATTAAAAAAATTTTGTCATTTTTTTTGTTCAAATCTTTAAGCTTTTGGATTTTTAACTGATTATTGATTGAAAGGAGTTCAAAATTCTACCAATGCAAAAATAAGAATCTTCAAAAAAAGTTCAGAAAAAAAGAAAAATTCCATTTCAGGCAAAAAAATTAACAATTAAAAATGAGAAAAAGCCATTATTTTTCGCATAAAAAAACTCCATTTCAAAAATTTAAAAAGGAATCTTCAATATATCATTCGAAAACTGAACAAAAGGACAAGATTTCACCATGAAAACGACGTGAAACAAAGGGAAGACGGGCTAAAAATGGTCAAGATCGTCACGTACCGAATCCAAACGAAGAAAAATGCAAAAAAGTGAAAGTTTATTAACGCGTCAACTCGAAAACAACAAAAAGGACAGCAATTTTACACGAAGGAGATCAAAAATAAATATATTTCAATTATATTTATTTTTTTATTGGAGTTCCAATTGTGGCCGGATGAGTTTTGCCTTGACTTCGTTAGTCGCCGCGTAGCCGGTTCCTGGAAAAAAATTGGGATAAAAAGAAAAATCTTCCCGAATTTCAAAAAAATAAAAAAATTTGAAACGCGATAAATCTATTTTCAAATATAAATATTGCAATTAAAGATGTGAAAAAAATGATTTTTTTCAGTTTCAGTATTAAAATTTTTCATTTAAAAAAATTGGAAAAAAATGAACAGGATTTAACATTAAAACGATCTTAAACGAGAGGATATTCATTTTTTTCAGAACATGAAATCGCTTTAAATTCTATTTCTGTTCAAATTTCTTCAGCTTAACAGATCCAACCTTCAAAAAAGTTCAACGATTTTTGAAAAAAATTCAAAAATAGTCTATTTGATTCCTAGATCAATTTTCACACTTCTTTTTCAATAAAATATCTCTACCTTGACCAAAAAAATCACGAGGAATAAGAGAAATACTGTTTCAACTATAAAATTATTCAACTTTTTCGCAAAAATATTACAAAAAGTCCAGGAACCTCCTCTCTGCAGTTCGATAACGTCCGATTCCGTGATCGGTTCCCCGCAAATCGGATCAACTCCGTCTTCTTTGATCAACTTCTCCACGACGTCGTACTTCACCACGCATTTTCTGCAGAGAAAATTAAATATAAAATTGAAAACTTGACTTTTAAAAAATCTTTTTCAACGAACAAACTGCAGTTGTTACTTTTAACAGTAAAAAGGTGACTTTTATCGTTCATTACAGGTTTTTCTACACTTTTTCGGAGAAAAACATAGTTCGTTCCGCGCGAGAAGGTCACGTTATGAAAGGCCAGAAAAGAAAAAGCTACTGTAAATACGGTGCTACGAGAACAGCGAGTTTTCCATTTGTGAGGAGTACGGTATACGGATATGCGCATTGTGTGCATACATTTTGCGTGTTTACACTTTCGTTGCGTGACGTCACCAGGTCGGACATCTCCGGGTTTTTTTGTTTCCTGGTTTTTTTTTCGAATATTTTTCAACTTTTTTTGGTTTTTTCCAATATTTTCATTTTTCTCAATGATATTTGCACGATAAAAAACAGCATAGAAAAAAAATTTGAAAAAAAGTGAAAAACTCGGAAACAAAAAAACCCGGAGATGTCCGACCCGGTGACGTCACGCAACGAAAGTGTGAACACGCAATGCGCATATCCGCATACCGTACTCCTTGCAAATGGAAAACTCGCTCTTGTCGTAGCACCGTAAATACAGCCTTTTACTCTACAAAACTGCTAGAAAGACAGCAAAAAACTAAGGTCTTGAAGCGAAGATGCTCAATTTCAAATTTTTGGTATAGGATATTTACGGCGGAAAAAAACGTGACAATCTGGCGCGGAATAAGGCCATACAATGAAAATTTCGAATTGTGAGGAAACATTTTTTTTTTGAGAAAGATTCCTGGAAGAATATATTCTTGATTTAGTTTCCTTTCGAATTCTCAAAGAGCTCGTTTTCAAGATCTATTAAATTTTTTAAATTGATAAAGAAACGAACGAAGGTTTCAAGTAGGCGCATCTCGTCGTGTTCGTCAGTTCATCTCGTGTCACTGGGCAGATAAATCGCTTCTGGAAATAAAATTTAAAGTTATAACTGTCCCGTTTCACCAATATAAAGTATAAACACGGCGTTTTTGTAAGTGGAAAAAATGCAAAATCAAAAATTAAGGGGGCGTCGTCCAAATCTCCGCCGTTTCCATGTGACGTCATGACAAAAACTCGTAAACAACATGAAATGTTAAAGGCGCACGAATGGGTCATGAGACGAATATATTCCTCATTTAAAAAACGCGATTTTTCTGTTTTTTTAAACACATGCCGTGTTGGAAGTAATTCCGCGAAATTCAATATAGCCACTAGAGAATGAAAAACATAACAGAATTTCGCAAAAATTACTCAGAAGAAAAACGGCAGACCAGCGCGCATGTCAAAAAACAAACGGCAGGCCAGCGCGGTTACACCAGTTTAGAGAGAATGGTAAACTTGGAGCGACCAGACTCGTACTCTCCTCGCTTTGCACACAGACCTGCGCGCTGGTCTGCCGTTTTCCATTAAATTTGGCATGCCAGCGCGCAGGTCCTAGACAGTGTGGAGAGCGAGGAGAGTACGAGTCTGGTCACTCCAAGTTTGCTATTCTCTCTAAACTGGCGTGACCGCGCTGGCCTGCCGTTTGTTTTTTTGACATGCGCGCTGGTCTGCCGTTTTTCTTCTGAGTACGTTGAACTCGGCGTGTGCCAGAGTGCCGCAGTGTATGAACACGACACACTACCCTTTACGGAAAAAAATATGGACGCGCCGATAAAAAAACGCCGTAAAAAAGGTTAATTTTCTGTCATTTACTGGAGGAATTTACGAAAAAAGAGAGCGAAACCAATTAAATAAGCCTTTTTTTCATTAGTTTTTTTCTTTTTCCAAATGAAATTTTAACTATTAATAAAACATAAATTCAAAAAAACCAAAAAAAGGATTTAAATGAACAACCTTTGCCGAGTTTTCCTCTCCAGGCATCGCCGTAAATTTGACTTCGAGTAATTCTTTCAGCTTCATTGGTTTGCTGGAGACTGGGCACAGGATTTTGGTGCTCTGAAAATGAAAAATTATTTTTTTGAAAAGGATGAAAATGAGTAGAAAAAAAGGGGAATTTATGTGATGACTCGCAAAACGCAAAAATTTGATCTTCTGGAAACTTAACTTTGCTGGTCTCGTGATAGATTTTTAATTTTGAATCTATTATTATTGATATTGGCTATGAAACTTTGTTTAAATGAGTCGAATTCATTAGAGACGATTTCTGATGGTAGCCAGAAAAAATCCTTTCTAAGCTCCGCAGTTAATTCGAACAGAAAATGAGTTCGTAAAAATCAAAAATCCTATAATTTCTGCTCTAAACCCTTCTAGAACCTTCATTTTTCAAAATTTCCTGAAACAAACCGGTTTTTCAAGTTTAGAAGCTGCTGCGGTGGGATTCAGTTCTGGGATCCAGAAACTGGGAAGAGCCGTACTTCTGAAAGCAATTTTCACGTTTAAATCGGATGAAAATCATCTTCATAGGAATATTCTTGATGAAAATTGAAGAAGGACGCTTCAGAAATAGAATAAAACAAGTTTTAAAAAAACTGTAACAAAAGCAACTGCCGTGTTGAAAGTGATCTCCGCGAAATATCTCTGACCCTCCCAAAATTTAGTTATCTTTTCACTCTCTGACGGCTATTTTGAATTTCGCGGAGTAACTTTAAACACGATAAAAAGAAATTTTTTTCGGAAATTCCGAAAAATCCGCACTTTTCACCCTTCATATTTGAAATATCGCCTTCTTCTCCATGTGCTCGTACTTTCGCAGCGATTTCGCTCGACATGGATCCTCCAGGTCTTTTCTGAAGATATAGCCATTATTTCATCAGTTTTTGACATAAAACTAGCCAAAGAATTTCTTTCTTCGAGGGCCGCCGCGGCAAGAGCTCCAGTCCTTCTTGGCGTGCTTTCAATGTTGGAAAACTGCTTCCTTTGCGATGTGATGTTGGCGTCTCCCTAGAAAAATTTTAAATTTAGAATATTCTTTTTTTAAAATCTTGGTTAGAATGCAAAATCTAATTGGAGAAAAAAAAATGATAAAATAAAACCTACAAATTCGGAAGAAAAAACATTTCAAGTTAAAAAAATACTTTTTCCCCATGTGAGCAGAACACTGAGAAATCGAAAAAGATCTCTTGGAAAAAAATGAGAAAAAAATAAATTTCAAATGAAAGGCACCTCAGAAAGAAATCAAAAAGGGCGAAAATTTCAAAATATAAAAATTTTTCCAAAAGAAAAATCCCTACTTTTCGACATTCATGGAAAATTGACAGAAAAAAACAATTTTATCGGAAAAAAAAAAATGAAAATCTGCATTAAAACCAAAAAATTGACCAAAAAGTTTTCAAACATAGTAAAACGAAATTTCAACAATCGAAAAACTGAAATAAAAACTAAAAAAACCACCTCTTTGGCTTTCTCAGCCGACTCCTCGGCACACTGTTTCTCGTACTCTTTCGTCTTTTTGGCAATCTCTTTTTTCTGCGCCAAAATATTCTCCAAAATGGCTTCTCTGTCGTAAATGTAGCCATTCGGTGTGATTACCGGCTGTCTGAAGCATTTTTTTAAAACGATTTCGATATTTCTGTCAAACCGGCAAGGCTGAAGAGTTAAAGAGCAGCAATGAAATTCTTTGATGGCGTCGGCGCCGAGTCTCGCGTGGATCGTACCATATCCACTGACCTTTGCGTCTCTTCGACGTTCGTGATAGGAATAAACCGCGGCTGCTGTACAGTTTTTCCCGTGTCGAGTCATTTCTGGAAATTCTTATGATTTTTTGAGAGCGAGTAGGACGAGAAGCGAAAAAAAAGCAGACAAAAACAATCTAATTTATAAGTTCCGAAGTAAGCGAATCATGAGAAAGCAAATACTGGGATAAATCGTTTTCTTCAAATGTAAAAAAATTTATAGATTTCAAAAATTCATTCAATGGAAAAAAATAAACCTTCTTTCTCTACACTCTCCCACACAAAGCGTAAAACTTCAATAACTGCCAAGTCAGTGGTAACTGAAAAAGAAAAAGCAACATTTTCAATTGCAATGAAAAACGGAATTTTCATGGGAAAAAAAACAACTGTTATTTCAGAAACTTCAATTATTCTCATCACAACCTGAGAAGAAGTATCATAGAATGAATACTATAAAAAATCGAAATTTCCTGGCTTTTTCTATGAAAGATCTTTGAAAGAAAAAAAACCGATCAAACGATCAAAAAGAAAGAAAAAAGCGAATAAAAAGCAACGCGACCTTTGCGCGTATGGTTCAAAGTATTCGGTGCAAACATTCATGGTGTGAACACATTTGAGCTTGCCACAGTAAGTTGAAAAAAAAAATTAACTTTCCAAAATAAGTGTAAATTGAACGTGGACATTTTCCTTATCTTTTCATCAGAAACAATCAAAAGAAACGAACGTGAAACATACTAAAAGCTTTATTTTATCCTTTTGGTGCCGCAATAAAAGCTCTCTTCAATGGCGACAAAAAGGCCAAAAAAAGCGAGAGTGAGACTTAAAAATTAGAAATTAAAAAGTTTTTTTTGAGAAAGCTATTTAGATAATTCACTAATTTACTAATTTAATAGCTCTTTGAAGCTAGATATTTGAAAAATTACCTCAAAAAAATAAAAATTTTCAGTGACGCAAATCAGTTTTTCCTATTGATGACCTCATTTGCCGAATTCTCTCATCCGGCACCAAGTTCATTGAAACTGTTAGTACGCCTGACATTTTTCAGGATGATCGAAACAGTAAAGTAATTATTTATATAATAAAAAGATTTTTTTAATTTTTTTACTTTGAGGCAAATATTCATGAATCAAGGTTCTCTGCTCGAAATCGAAGCGCCAGTCAAAATTTGCGGCGATACGCATGGCCAATTTAGTGGTAATTAAGAAAAAAGCGAGAGAAAAAGAAAAAAAAAAACTGGAAAACGTGAAAATGGAAAAAAAAGTACGCTGGAGCACCGTTTGGCGGAGTGTCGTTTGGGAAATTTCGATTTTTTGTTTTTTTCTTTCTTTTTCTCTTTTTTTTTGATTTTTTTTGTGTTGTATGAGTTTTAATAAACTTTTCCTTTTTAAAGATGTGCTGCGACTGTTCGAAAAGGGTGGTTTCCCACCATTGGTCAACTACTTGTTTCTCGGCGACTATGTCGATCGCGGACAGCAAAGCATAGAAGTCGTTTCTCTTTTCCTGGCTTATAAGGTGGGATTTTCTTGTTATAAAGAAAATGAACAGATAAAAATAGGTAAAATACCCGGGGAACTTCTTCCTGTTGCGAGGAAACCACGAATGCGCCGCCATCAATCGCGTCTACGGGTTCTACGACGAATGCTGCCGTCGGTACAAGACGGCCGGTCCAGAGCTTTGGCTAGCTTTTCAGGTCTTTTCAAGTCAATTTGGTCGTTCAAAAACGTTTTGCAATCAATTTTGTGCTTGAAAATTGCAAATTTCAGGTTTTTTTTCTATAATTTTTCTGAAAAAGTGGTTTACGTATTGAAAAAGCCAGCAATGACTTGAAATAACAGCAAAAGCGGACCTTTCCAAGGAATTTTGAACATACTCCTGTTAACAATGGTGTTATCATTTTTCATGTATTCAAGTTTATTTGTTCATTAGACACTGTAATCAATTTTCTGCATGTAGGAAGTTCATTTCAATGCATTTATTGTACACCAAAACGCCTTCAATCTCATTTTTCAGGCGGCCTTCGCCACGATGCCACTAACAGGTCTCGTGTCAAACCGAATTCTGTGCATGCACGGCGGCATCAGCAGCAGGGTTCCTACGCTACCTACCGTACTCTAAAATAGCTTTAAATCAGATGAAATCTCTGAACGACCTGAAACGACTTCGGTCGAAGCCCATCGACATCGTCGACAATCCTTCGCTGGCCATGGACCTTCTTTGGGCCGATCCCGATGAAACTATCTCGGTGGGGGAACTATATTCAGAACGCCATAGTGGCCCCTATAGGGTTTAGGGGGAAAAAGAGCCCTTTTAGGGGAATATACAGTGCTCCCTAGAGGGGTTAAGCTTGAGTGGTATTTATAAGAGTTTAGGAGCTGAATTTTAAAAATTAAAGTTTCATTAGTTCCCTAAAACGACGTATAGGTGCCACTAGCATGCTCCCCTAGAGTGAACACTAGTTAAAAGCCCTGGAGTGGCTGCTTTTGCAAGCTTAAGTGTCCTCTATAGAGGAAGGTGATTTGGTCTCTTCAAGTGAACCTACAAAAGCCCCTAAAGTAGCTCCTCTAGAGACCCCTCTGAAGCTCCTAGAACTGCTCACTAATGAAACATTTCTCGCGCTACCGTAACCTTCCCTACAGTCTCCCCCAATTTTCAGGGCTTCGAGGAGAACACCCGCGGCGTGTCCTACGTCTTCGGAGCCGACGTCCTCCAGGAGATGATGCGGAAATTGGAACTCGACCTGGTCGTCCGGGCTCATCAGGTGCTGCGTGCGGTCGCGTCGCGGTTAACATGACGTCATTCCAGGTAGTCCAAGACGGCTACGAGTTCTTCGCCAACAAGAAGCTGGTGACCGTATTCTCGGCTCCTCATTACTGTGGATCGTTTAATAACGCCGCCGCCATGATGAACGTCGACAGGACTTTGGTCTGCTCTTTTCAGGTCGGAAGGGGTTACTGTAATTTTTTTTTAAAAAGTACGGTAATATCGGTAAAGAAGGCCAGATTGAGCACGAAAAAGTCATATTTTTTGATTAAATTAGGTTGAATCGAGGTGAAAAGGATTACTGTAGTTTAATATTATAGTAACTGTGATCGACTGAGATTACCGTATTTTACTTTGAAGCACAAGGGGATACTGTAGTTTATCGATATTTTAAAGGCTGATATCATTCTAACATAAAGATCTTTTTACACCAAGCGGTCCTGTAGGAAAAATAATAGTTACCGTAACCGAAATGATTCCAAAAGTCTACAGTATGATGGTCTGGATACGGTGGTTCCTTTAATTTTTTCTTTTCTAGTAAAATTTGCAGAATAAAAAAAATTTTGTAAGGAGTGTTTTAACGACTTTTCTGTTAGTGGAAGAAAATGCGAAACCAAAAACGAAGTGGGCGGAGTCAAAAACTCTGTCGCTCCCACGTGACGTCATGGGAATGCTAGAAATACTAAAAGCGTAAACAAATGGGCTTATTAAAGGCGCAGGCGGCCGTATTGCCAGAGGTCTTTGAGACGAATGCTCTATACATAAACAAAACTTTTCTGCGCAAAAGCGGCTCAGTGCATGCACACAACACACGACACTTTACGGAAAAGTCGAAAAAAAAACGCCGTTTACTGTTACAGTAGTTGAAAAGTTCAAGAGAGCCTCAAAAACCCTTCAGTGACCACTTGAGGGATCAACTTTTCAGGTGGAAAAAAACGCCGTGTACTGTTACAGTAGTTGAAAAATTCAAGAGAGCCTCAAGGACCCTCCAGTGACCACTTGAGGGATCCACTTTTCAGGTGGAAAAAAACGCCGTGTACTGTTACAGTAGTTGAAAAATTCAAGAAAGCCTCAAGGACCCTCCAGTGACCACTTGAACTTTTCAGGTTATGCGAGCCGTCGTGAAGGTCGTGAAGTCGAGAGAATGAAACTTTGTCGTTTTTTTGCTCATTTTCTTTCCGTTTCAAATAAAAGATTATACAGAATTTTATCGATCGAATCAAACAATCATGGAATCGGAGCTCTGTCCGGAGATAGCTCTCAGTTTCTCAATGAGATCCCTTCTTTTGCCGATTCTTTGTGTCCACATTTTACTCGCATCCAATTTGACAGAGTTTCCAATCGGGTTTTCGGACAAGTAGTTTCTGAAAATTTCGTGGGGAAATGAGCTAAATTCGGCGTCGAACCTGACTAATTTGACGAAATCTTCACTTTCGGTCTTTTTTGGGACGACGTTAGGGATGGCTTCGCTTGGTTTCAATACCTCGAACATGGATTGGATCTGAATGTATGATTTTTCTTATAAGAGGTCTTATGGTCATAGGCAAAGTCGGAAAGGGTGGAAAAGGCTCCATAGAAATTTTCCTTTTTGCTGCCTTTTTGCGCCATTTTTTCGGCCCTTTTGCACCATTTTTGCTGCCTTTCCCTTTTTCCACCATTTCTTGAGCCTTCAAAATTCCAGAAACAATGGAAGGCTCGTTAACGGTATCCTTTTTGCTGCCTTTCTGCGGCCTTTTTTGAGCCTTTCTGCGGCCTTTTTTGAGCCTTTTAGCGGCCTTTTTTGAGCCTTTCTGCGGCCTTTTTTGAGCCTTTTAGCGGCCTTTTTTGAGCTTTTCTGCTGCCTTTTCTGAGCCTTTTAGCGGACATTACCCCCCATTCCGACCCTGCCCGAGTGAGAAAAATATTTTATTTATATCAAAATGAATAAACTGATATTGATGATTATAGGGTGAAAAAAGGCAAATAACTGTACGAAGATTTTCAAAAAATCGTTTCAAGACCAATTTTTGAAAAATTCTTATGGTTTTTGGTATCAGAAATCTATAAATCTTTACTCAAAATCAATGAAAAATATTCCATCAACCGCCAGTTTGTTGCTTGAAAAAAAAGGTCACTCAACAAAAACCTCTCAATTTCTCCCGCTATCTCGCTAATCGTTTCAGGACCACTTTTCGTCGAAAATCAGCGGTCCTTTAAAGATCAGCGAGAGATTAAAGGCTATTTTAATGTTTAACCATCACGGTACT